ATACTAAGATGCAATTTTGAGGATATGCAATTTTGATATTCAAGTATAAGGAAACCATATTGCATTTCAACAAAGAGTGTCTGTATCTCATGAAAAACTTTGTTGTTATAAGGACTTTGCTTGACATATTAATATCAAAAAACCTTATCTAACATGTTAACACTAAAGAATTTTGTTTAATATATTGACACCAAAATTATTGATGGCAAAGGACCTCATGATATATGTTAACAATGACGGATTTTATGTAAAATATTGACAGTGAAGAACCTTGCTTAACCTTTGCTGTTTTATTAGTAAGGGCATTTTTATCATTTAGACCTTAAAATTATTGATAGTGAAGGACCTTACAACATATTAACAATGTAAGAATCTTGTGTGAAATACTAACAGTGAAGAATCTTACTTAACTTTTGCTGTTTCATTAATAAAAGCATTTTTATTATTTAGACTTCAACAATTATTGATAGTGAAGAACTTTCTTTTAAAATATGTCCCAAGTCCTTATGATGCAGTGAGGTATTTTTTACCAGTTTTCCCATGATTTTAACACCAATATCCATAAATCTATACATTGTAATACAAAATCCAACATTTCATGCTTAAATTTTTTAAAAAAATTACGAGGCCAAATCAAAAATAAAAATCAACAGCAAGAAAGAACAAGGGATCAAAGAGAAGATGAAAATATAAAATTGTGAAAAGAATGCAGAAACTCAACCCCATTGATAGTGCAAAAGCTTCATTCGATAGTTACACTTCTCAGTTAGATGGCAAACCCACAAGTTAAAGTATTTTAATATCATTTTTCATCCAAGAGTTTTTCTAAGAATGGTTGGAGTAGCATAAGATAACAGAGACTTGGTATTGAGAACCTCAAAACTCTTGGCTCTTAAATTCTAATCCCCCAATGACCTGCAGAGCACACAGGCTCCTTTAAAGTGGAAAAGTACTTGCCAAAAAAAATAAAAAATAAATAAAAAAACAGTTCATTTGAAAAACAACATCTTCCCTGTCAAACAATATAATAACCATTAATGTGGACAATAAGTCCCACAAAATCCATAAACCAGCAACCAAAGTATTATATATCCATCTTTGGAAGAAAACTGAACAGCCTAATATTGTATATACATTAAATAAAGCTAGAAGAAACTGGAACTGAACAACAATCTTCATCATTTTAGATAACACTTTCAAAGGGCAGAAATGATTATGGGCACAAAATGATCAAAATTGTCATGGGTTAACTTCCCAAGTGCTTAAACTAAGTAAATGTGCAACTTAATAATTAAGATTTAGAGTCAAGGTTCTTCAATTGGATGCTTCAAATTGGTACAAGGCTTTCTACATGATTGAAAATAACTGAAAATTTATTACCACATCTGCTGGTAGCAACCTCCCTCAATTTGTTAGTTTGAGGATCCGTCAGAGACAGAACACTTACCATTCCATTAGGTTCACATTCAATTCCACGAATGAATCCATGCATTTCATTAACATCGCATACAATTTCATTCCTCAAAATACATGATGGATTCAACAAGCTTGAAAAGGTGGTTATAGAATGTTTCTTATTCCAAGTTCATCTCTCTTGAGGGGCACCCACACCATCATCCATCACCCACATATCAATCAAGTAAGATTCAGGGTTTCTAATCTTAGTGTAAGAAAGCAAAACAAGTTTGTTCTCATGCACAGCAAGATTATAATCTAAATCAGAGTCTAAACCAGGCATCGGTATCAATGTAAACACTTCCTTTGCTATGTCAAATGAAACTATTAAGTCAATATCATCTTCACCAACTACCTGCGACCCAATCCAAAACATAGCTCCATTGGCAGTGACAGTTTCAGTATAAAGATTTATACCCTTTAAGTTCCCAAATTCTATTTCCTCCATCTCCATGACCTTAATGAATAGACTTCCACTCGATTAATCTCATTATCAAAATCAGAAGGAGGAGCATAAGCTCTCAATATCTTGTAATCATTAAGAATTGGACTGAACCCAAATCTTTATACAAATCACCATCAAAATCATAAACATTGTTGGGCGCTAGTCTGGTCTCTTGAATCGCTGGATTCCACAAGAAAAGCGAATGAACTATACTAAAATTAGAACCTTCAATACAGAGCAAGCCGTTGCTGGAACCCACGATACTAATGCTCAACATATAATTGGTCAAAGGAGGGCCACGAATTTCAAGGACTTGCATGTCACGATCAAGCGAATAAAAATGCAAATGATTCTCTCTTCCATCCAGTTGGAAAAGAAGAAAAGGGTTTTGATGATTGGAATGTTGGAGGTGTTCTTCGATGAAAAACCGAGTATTGATGAGATTTTTCCAATCTTTGCAGACACATTCAAATCGGATTAGGGATCTCACCGGAAGTCGTTTGAGAATGTTTGCGATGACTTCTTGTGGAAGGAATACTGAGTCGCCATCCATTGCCATCCGCTTCGTAGTGCTCCAGAGTCCTGAATGGATTCCTCAGACTCAGGAAAGCCACGGTCTTTAACAGTGATAAGCGCACTTGTCTATCAGGTTCCATGCACTGGAAGAAGAAGAAGAAGCTCTTCGGGGCCAGTACCTATAAAAGTAAAATATGAAAAAAGTTACCCACTAAATATCCTGTTTTTGATTAAATATATTTAAATTATAGGAGTTATCATAAAAATCCATGAAAATCTAAATATGTTTGTGAGATGAGATTGGGTATTTAAAAAAGTGTGAGAATTGAACTTTTTCTATCTTTTTTTTAAAAAAAAAAAACGCTGTATTTTTTGAAACTTTTTATTCCGTTAATTTTTGTATTTCCTTTTTTGACCAGATAATATTGGTGTTTTTAGTCTCAACGATTTTTGAGTTTTGAGTCCATGGTTGTCCGAAGGAATTAGTCCTAATCCCTCTCTGGACCTCATGTAATTTGCTTGCTTAATAATCATATTATTTATCGGACAAAAAATGTACACGAAATTCTATTTTTTTTATTTTTTAAATTTTTTAATGAAAGGAAAATATATTAACAATAAAATAGAAGTTTGCAATGTGAAAGTTTATTATGCATCAATATGATACTACACTATATAAAACAATTAGAGGACATCAAACTTATAAAAATGTGTACTTTTTTTTTTTTCAGAATGTGCTCGACTTAAAGCTTGCCACGTTGATCTTATTACGGCTTCATAAACTTTTATGGGACGCAATTAAAATTCACCACGATTGTATTTATCATATCCTCCATTTAGTCCTTGTTATAAAAGCTTATCAACAATTTTACAAGGATTAAGAAATGCAGTTAAATTGTTATACTTTAAATTAATGAAAATTTGGATTTGAATCAAATCTTTTATTTAGATACATTAAAATCTAATTTTAAATTTTCTTTCTATTCTAATTATTTTTAATTCGATTCATAGTATTAATGTCTCCATCATTCTCACATTTTTTTTCCTTACTTCTCATTTTTACTCTTATTAATTGAAGAATAGATGTAACCTAGCTAATCTTGTCATTCTCAATATTCTATTTTCATTTTGGATCTTAGCTCATCTCTCTCTTTCATTTAAAATTTTTTACATTATCTAAATAAAAAATTTCAAATACATAAATTCTAAAAACTTTGAAAAATACTTTTTTTTTTTCCAATAAAAGAACTTTTAGGCCAATCCTTATAGGCTCTTTAAAAAGAGTTCCGGGTTCAAGCGAGTTCCTCTATGCTCTGTATTATCTTCTCTCCTTTTTTTTTTATTAACATATGGTTGAAATTATTAAAAATTATTTTGTTGAAATTGTTAATATTGCAAAATAACGTGATTATAATTTTTTTAATTTATTATAACTTTTGAATTAATATATAACAATAATATAATTTGTTAAATTGAGCAATAACATAATTAAGAATTTAAATATTTCCTATTTTTTACAAAGAATTTAAATATTTCCTATCTAGTATGTTTATTGAGTTATCTTCATTGGCACTCGCATTTTCCAAATCAGTTAGCTAGGCCATCACCTTTCTGTACCACCCATGATTGTCACGTTCATTGTTGTCATTATTGTTTTTGCTTTTTTCGGTGTGCTGGCCGTTGGCTGTCTCCTCAGTCTGGGCTTATCCATCTATTGTTGTTGTGGTCTTTTTCTTTCCCATGTGTTGGGCATGTGAGAATAGCATCCAATGTTTTTAAGCTTTCATGTTGCAATTTTTTTTTACTTTGCTTTAATAATATTTGCTCCTTGATAAAAAAAAACTAAATAAAAATAATTGAAAATTGTTATGCGTGCTGTCGACTCAAAAAACATGATTAATTTTAGATCTAAGAACTTACGCGCTGCCGATCTTAAAAATCAGGCTAGCTCTTATTGGCAGCTCTATGCTTGTGTAAAACTCAAAAAAATAAGAACGTCAAACATGTTGACAAAGTTTATGCTATGGGCAAGCCCATAAGTTCATAAATTTTAATCTCATTTTTCGTCCAATCATGCACTAGGATCTGTGAGTATGATAGGATTAGCACAAGATAATAGTGACTTCGTTCTGTGAACCTCACAACCAGTGTTCTAATTCTCCAATGATCCACGAAAACTACTTACAAAAAAGCTGGTTTATTTGATTCGTTTCTCTACGAGAAATGAAATTAAAAAGCAACAGACTTACATTTCTTCACTGTCAAATGACATAATAACCATTTATACATTACATGGACAATAAGTCCCACATAATCCACAACCAGCAACTAAAGTATTATATATCCATCTTCAAAAGAAAACTAAACGTCATATTATATTACACATTAAATAAAGCAACAAACATCTGTCTGAGTATAGATCTTCATCATTGTAGATAAAATACCAAAGGGGCAACAAGGGTCATAGACATGACAACAAGAAGAAGAAGAAGCAATCTTATCCCATTAGATGAAATCAGAAATAGATACAATAGATACAAAATGATACAGATGATCTAAATAGATGTTGAATGAAGATTTTGGATCAAGGTTCTTCAATGCGAATATTGCCAATCGGTACAATGCTTTCTGCATGATTGAAAATAACTGAAAACTTATTGCCACATCTGCGGGTAGCAATCTCCCTCAATTTGTTAGTTCCCAGATTTAACAGAGACAAAACACTTGTCACTCCATGTGGTTCAAATTCAGAAATAAATCCATGCATTTCATCAACATTGCATACAATTTCATTCCTCCAAATACATGATGGATCAAACACACTTGAAAAGGTGCTTATAGAATATTTCTTATTCCAATCTCTACCATCATCCATCACCCACAAATCAATCAAACAAAATCCAGAGTTTCCAACCACAGTGTAAGAAAGCAAAGCAAGTTTGTTCTCATATACCGCGAGATTATAATCTGAACCAGAGTCTAATGCAGGCATTGGTATCAATGTAAATACTTCCATCGCCATGTCAAATGAAACTAACAAATCATCTTCATCCTCTATCTGTGACCCGAGCCAAAACATAGCTCCATTAGCAGTGACTGTTTCAGAATAAAGATTTATGCCCTTTAAGTTCCCAAATTCTATATTCCCCCATCTTCCTGAGCTTAATGAATAGACTTCCACTCGATTAATCTCATTATGATCGTCAGAAATAGGAGCACAAGCTCTCAATATCTTGTAATCATTAACAATTGGACTGAATCCAAATCCTATATATAGATCACCCTCAAAATCATAAACATTGTTGGGCACTCGTCTGACTTCTCTAATCGCAAGATTCCATAAGAAAAGCGAATGAACTACACTAAAATTAGAACCTTCAACACAGATCAAACCGTTGCTGGAACCTACGATCCTAACACTAAACATGGAATTGATCAAAGGAGGGTTCTGAATTTCAAGGACTTGCATGTCATGATCGAGAGAATATAGATGCAAAGGATCACCTCTGGCATTCATTTGGAACAGAAGAGAAGGGTTTTGATGATTGGAGTGTTGAAGGTGTTCTTCGACGAAGGATGAGGTCTTGCTGAGATTTTTCCAATCTTTGCACACACACTGAAATCGGATCAGGGATCTCACTGGAAGTCGTTTGAGGATGTTTCTGACAATTTCTTGGGGAAGATATGGTGAGACGCCATCCATTGCGATCTTCTTCATAGTTCTTCTGTGGGAAGAAAGGATCTCTCACAGGAAAGCTATAGTAATGAACACTTGGCAGGGATCGCACGAGAAGATCAGGATACAAACGAGGAGGACGGTTTTGTCGAGCGACCTAATCTTTTCATTCCACTGAAAAAAGTACTTTTGTCCATGTAAATTGTACTATTTTTTTATTTTTTATGCGGAAAAAAATGCTTTTTTTTTTCCTGTGGCCCATATTTTTGTCCCTCTATAGTCTGTGCCACTATATACACATTTTTTATAAGAGAATGATAGTTAAATTTTAAAATACTGAATTAATATTAATTAAATTTTTTAAAATTTTTTTAAAAAAGTAAATTAAAAATATTGATTTAAATTATTATAAAGTCAAAAATTTTAATTATAAACAAGTATTAAAATATTAAATATAATTTTTAAATTATAACAAAATATTTTATTTATAACTGGTTAAATTTATATTTATAATTTATTTTATAGAATATTTTATTGAAGATCTATCTGTTATTATTTTTTTTTTAAAAATCTAACTGTCATTCTTCTCATTTTTTATTAGCCATGTTTGATGTAAATATACGACATTAAATAAAATTTATAAATTTTTTTCAACCATAAAACTAATTTAATTATTATTTATTTTTAAAAAATAATTTATTAAAATTTTAATTGATATTATTAAAATAATTATATAAAATACTAAATAAGGATATAATTGAAAAAATATATAACTTTTTAAAGGATTAAAAATTCAACAATTTTTTTTAAATCATAAAATAGTTATCAATACTTATGTTATAAATGAGAATGATTACTTCATACTATAAAAATATTGGAGCTCATAGGGCTCCAGTAATACTTGAGGTTTTCCAAAATATCAGAGGGTTCCAAACTTTTATATTTTCTCAGATAAAAAATGTATACGTTTTTTAATACTTCCCAACAATTATCTAAGGTTTCTTTAGCAGCAATTTTAAATTTTTCATATTCTGCAGTATCTAAATTTATATTGTGTCAATATTATTTTTTCAGTCACAAACTCTCAGATGCAAAATTAAATACTTTCTTGGAGAACTTCTAAAAGTTAATGGAAAATCAAAAGAAGATGCCAAAACGTTATATATTTCTAAATTTATTTTCCTGCCACTATTTTTTTAGTCTGTTGCTATTTAATAAATCTCAATCAAAAAATTGCTAACATGGAATTTATCCAAATAGATATAATATATATTCATTAATAATAATGATCTCAAATGTAAAAATTCAGTATCCCTTAATTTAGTTCATGGTAAAAGAAATTGGCTAGAAATTTTTTCCAAATTTTATTTCATTTATGCTCCCAATCACCAATAGCTAAATTGGAGGATAAAATATTAAGACTGAGATCACTTGGGAGATGACTAGGGACTTGTTGGCAATAGGAGTAGGAGGAGAAACAATTAATAAGCAAAGTATTGAAATACAAATTAAGTTTTTGCACCCGTTAAGATGATAGTTCAAAGATCAATTGTTTAAATTATAGTTGAATTGACATCAATCCAATCATAATTAACTCAAAATATAGTTATCTCAAATTCAAAAAGGAATAAACATATAAATAAACATATATATACACACACACATAGGAGAATGATAAGTAAGTCCTAAGGGAGGCTAATTGATTCAAATTAAGTCTCAATCAATTTCAAAATGCCAACAAAATTCCTTGATTCTTCACCGGTAATAAGTTTAACAAGGACTTGAAAAGATTTGCAAATTCAAATTTTAATTTTGCAATTTTATTATAATATAATTGTAATTTATTTTTTAAATTTTAACAAGAAACACAAATTTTGATTTTTAATATTAAGAAGTATAAAATCTAATAGTTCTAAAAATTTTATTGTGATGCATTTGAAATTTATTTTTCTAATTAATTTTAATAAGAAACACAAATTGTTATCTTTAGCATTTAAATGTATTATGTTTAACAACTCTAGGAAATTGCAAATTAGGCTCCTAATTTTACACTTTCGTTATGATAAATTTATAATTTACTTTTCATATTTCAACAAAAAATACAAATGTTCATATTTAATGTTAAAAAAATATTAAGTTTATTATTTATTCTTTATTCATTGCTTATTCATCAATGAAACAAACAAATCATCCATTTCTCTATTGTCTATTTTTTATTCTTCAACTTGATAAAATTTAAAAAATAACTTAAAATGCATCATAATGAAATTGTAAAATTAAAAGTTAAACTTAAAAATTTATGAATATGTTAAATTTATTATCACTAAAGGACAAAGACACTTTAATGACACTTTAAAATTGGTTAGAACTTTCTTTAAATTAATTGATTCTCTTAAAATTTAACTGTTATTCTCCTTTTATATATATATATATATATATAATCAACCCATTGATCTATCCAAAACTTTTGACTAACTAGCCCATTGATCTATTCAAAACTTTTGACTAACTAGTTTACCGATTCACTAATCCAACCACCCATTTTGGGTTAGGTTTTAATACCATGTTAACAAGATTATATAGTACCGTAAAAACCTCCTTCTAATGCTAAGCAATTGAAGAACTAATTAACGGTTGTACATAAGTAACTAAAATGCAATGAAAAATTTGCACAGCAAAGCCAAATTCTTGAACGCTGCAATACTTGCAGTGACAAGTCTTTAGAGAGAGGTAAGTTATATAAAATGGAAAGAAATCTAAGCACAAATAATACATTGAATCATAGCAGAAGACAGTATTCTGCATTGTAATATAAAATTAAAAAATAAACATAAACTCAAACAATGCACTCGTATATTACATCCAAATCCCTTTAGGTACATATATAATATTGCTACAAATTGTATGGAAAGAACTAGACATGGGCAACAAAGCAAAATGCAATATTCCTATCATCTTATTTACCTTCAGATGGTTCCGATCCATATCTAGCACTCATGTATTTCCCCATTTGATGAAGCAATGTCTATTGTGGTTTAAAAAAAAAAAAAAGTTATGACAGCAAACAAATCCTGACATTTAATATTAGTCTCCAAAGCCGCAAAGTTACTTTTGACATTATATAGAGTCAATCCTTCAACTTTTTTTTGAGAATTCAGCCAAAGTCAAAAGTGGCGCAAAAGAAAAGCAAGATCAAGCCATATTGGCAAGCAAAATTTTTCTACAGCCTAAGGCAGTAATAGTAGCAAGGATCTTATCCACTGTAGCCCCTAGCAGATGAATCGAGACAGAAATAGTATTACAATTACTGGCAACTATTGATTTGTCAAGAATAAGAATGTGCCATAGATCTTGTCAACTGCAATGGAACAACAAAGAAAAATATTTGCAAAAACTTCATTCGATAGTCACACTTCTCAGTTGGAAATTTTCCAAGTTTCTTTTTATGGAAAGCCCATAAGTTGAAGCATTTTTATATCATCTTTCATCCAATAATACACTAGAGTTCTAAGAATAATTGGATTAGCATAATAAGATCACAGAGAATAATATTGGGAACCTCACAGCAAACTCTTAGCAACAAGTGTTCTCATCCTCCAATGATCCACAGAGCATACAAACTCTTAAAAAGTGGAAACCAGTTTATTTGATTTATTTTTCCACTAGAAATGAAATGAAAAGGCCACAAACTTACTTTTCTTCCTTATCAAATGATGTAATAAAACTGTTGGCATATTACATGTATAGTAAGTCACACATAATGCATACACCAGAAACTAACATATCATATATCCCCCATCCAAAGAAAACTAATAAAGAATTTGATATCAGAGATATACCTAGAAAACAAGCTAGAAACATTTGGAACTGAATATATGCATTCACTATTCTACATAACATCTCCAAAGGGAAATTGATATTGGTTCATTGTCACCAAAAGTGCTAAACAAAGTAAGCTGATAGAGGATCAAGGGGCTCTTCAACATGGATGCTGTCAATTGGTACAAGACTCTCTGTGTGATTGAAAATAACAGAAAAAACATGACCGTATCTACTGGTAGCAATCTTCCTCAATTCATTTGTTCTAATATTTAACAGAGATAGAACAGCTATCACTTCAGTGTACTCCTCGCATTCAGTTTCACCAATGAGTCCAGACACGTCATTAATGTTGCAGACCATTTCATCCCTCCAGATACATAACGGATTCATCCTCCAACTACCTAAAGGAACTAATGAGCCTAGAAAGGTTCTTACGGAATACTTCTTAGTCCAACTCCATCTCTCCTGAGGCACACCCATTCCCTCCTCCATCACCCACAAATCAATCAGCCAAGAATCAGTTGAAAAGGATTCAGACTGTCTAGTCTGAGTAATCACAGCAAGTTTATTCTCATGCACAGTAAGCTTATCCCTTGAATTAGAGCCTAAAGCAGGCATTGCTATCAATGTAAAGGCTTCCATCGCTATGTCAAATGAAACTATCAAATCAATATGATAGTAAAGCTCCTCCTCCATAATTAACTTTGTCCCTAGCCAAAACATAGCTCCATTAGCAGTGATAGATTCACAATAAAGATTTACACCTTTCAAGTTCCCAAGTTTTATTTCCTTCCATCTCTGGGTGCTCAATGAATATACGTCCACTCGATTAACGTCATCCTTGTCTTGAGGAACATAAGCTCTTAATATCTTGTAATCATTAACAATTGGACTGAACCCAAACCCTACACAGAAATCACCATCAAAATCGTAAACAATACCGGGCACCTGTCTGATCTTTCTAATTGCTGGATTACACAAGAAAAGTGAATGACTTGCACCAAAGCTAGAAAGTTCGACACAGAGGAGCAAGCCATTGCTGGAGCCGACGATCCGCAAAGCCTTCGAGGATGGTAGGTTCTCAACTTCATGGAGTTGCATCTTGCAATCAAGCAAACATAAGTGCAAAGGATCATCTCTACAATTCTGTTGGAAGAGAAGAGAAGGGTTTTGATGAGTGGAGTGGCGGAGGTGGTCAGCGACGAAAGATGGGGTTTTGATGAGATTTTTCCAATCTGTGCAGACACACTGAAATCTAATCAGGGATTTTACGGGAAGTCGTTTGAGAATGTTTGTGATGATTTCCTGGGGAAGATACGGTGTGTCGTCACCCATTATTTTCTGCTCCTTAGTGTTCGACTGGGAAGAACAAACCTCAGAGAGTGAAGCCATCGCCGAATGATCGGTAACAATTAGGGTTGCTCAGGGAAGGTAAACAAAATCAAACACCTGGTGAGGGATTGCGATGATGTGGTAGAATCCGCGGCGCTTCCCTGCGCGTCCCTCCGCGGCGAGGATTTTCTCTGTTTTCTTTTTTCCTTCATTATTTTTCACATAGACTAATTTAGGCTCTCGCTAGCTATGTTAAAGTAATATCCAATATCATTAATACTTTAGATAGTGTTTGGTTAAAGTAAAAAAAAAAAAAAATATTTCTCCTTTAGCAAACAAGGAGAGGGGAGGAGCCTCTCCTCCCCTCTCCTTATTCCATCCAAACCTCTTTTTGTTTGGCAAAATAGAAGGGAGGAAAAATTTTAAACCTCTCCCATTATGTGTTTGCTTATGAATGGCGTAAGTGATACAAAACGTGTGCTCTATATATATATATATATATATATCTAACGTGTGCTATATATATATATATATATATCTCTAAAATAAGCTGGCGGATTGCTGGGAGGAGAGAGGGAGAGTAGGGAGAGATCTTTAAGTACCTTAAAATAGTGACAGCTTTCAGTTTCACCACTCCCGGACGAATGGAATGAGTGAATCCATGTCTTGCACTCATCTCTCGTAACAATATATTCCATTTGCTATCTCAGTCAAATGCGAAGGCAGGAGAATTTGAAGGAGTGGCCTGTTGCCCGAGTTTGAACGGCGAGCATCCAGGCAGCCATATGAGGGGGGTATTTTTTTTTATGTTATTAAAAAATATTAAAAATGATGGGACCATACCCAGTAAAAAATATTAAAAAAATTAAATATAGGATTTATATATCAAGAGAATCAAGAGAGTTAACACTGGGATAGGGGGGCGACGAATTTATAAGTTTATGCACAAAATTAATTTTAAATTGAGTTTAGGATTATCTATAAATTTTTATATATAGTTTAGAGATAAAAGTATCATTTAATCCAATAAAGAATAATTATAAACACTTCTTCTCCCTTTCTCTCTAATAAAACTGAATAAAGTAATATTCTTTAAGTTCAAAAATGTAAGACATTTTTAATCTTTCGAGATATAATTATTATCTTTTTTAAAAAGTATTTTTATTGATAATGACTTTATATTTATTGTAAGGTATTTAATAAAAATAAATATAAAAAAATAAAATTAATTAAAAAATAAATAATTATTTATTAAAAAGTGAGATTTAATTAAATTAAAAATATTTTATATTTTTAAATAGATGTAACATGATAATACTCCCCTCTTGTGAACCAAACACAGCCTGACATGGTCTCCGATGCTCCAATCTGAAGGAGGCATTAATGATCACACATGTGTGACTCAAAATGATTCCGCTTCATCCAGTTCCTCCAGGGAAGGAGGAGAAAGCACAATCAACATGAACAGTCGCAATGTCAGCGTCAATCCCATCACTAGTGCCAACCTGAAGCTGTAGCTTATTGTTCAAGTAGATGCCAGCACAGTTGCTATTGGCCATCGACAAACATAGGACACCCACAACTTCTTTCACGTGTTTGCAATCACTCAAGACATGGAAAACAGCTTCTTTAATTCCTGGGTTATAATCAAAGAACCCGCTCCCATACAGTTACCCTTTCCCGGCATTTTGTCTCATTTATTAACTAACGTCCTTGCCTCACTTCATGTTTTAATATTTTATAATATATTCTTTCTGTCTTTATATATCAAATATTTTTAATCAAATTATATAAATTAATAAAAATTAATTATTTAATTAAAAGCTCGACAACATTTTAATTTTACCTGTAATTATTTTAAATAAAAATAAATTTTTTATTCAAAAAAAATTAATGAGAATAGTTATTTTTTCTCTTTTCAATTTAATAAGAGTATAATGGTTCATTCTTCAAAAAAATATATTAACAATTTCTTATATTTAGGAGTAAAAAATATTTTAAAAAATTTCTTATATATAGGGAAGGAGGGAATAAAATGTTTTGAGGAAAAAATAATAATAATTAATTAATCTTGTTCCAAAAATTCCTTTTGTTAATTAAACATGAATTTTAAGGTTTTTTTTTACTTAGTAAAACATGTAAAAAAAGAATTTATAAATAAAAATAGAGTATATCATAGGAGTATGTATTTTTGTTGGCACTGTCTTTATGGATGTTTTTAGATAAGAACTCTTTCAATTTCTTCTTCTCAAGTTAAGACTGAAAAGGAAGACAAGAAAATTGAAAAAATGGATGCGTTGTGGGTCTCATAAGTTTAATAATAATAGTATTTGATCAAAATTAATGAAAAGGTATTGAATGATTCATTTTTTATAATAAAAGCTACACAATGTTTCTTGAAAAGTAATTTGTGACTAAATTTATAACTTTACATATGCATATGCTAACATGAAATGCCCATAGAGTGTTGCATATCATTGTGGACTCTATATAACATTCATTAGATGAAGGTAATGATGGGTTACTAAATATTCTATTTTTTAAAGTTGAAGATTTATTTCACATTATATGTTTTTAATTTTTAGTTATATTTTCATTTTTTGAGACTCTCTCTCTCTCTCTCTCTCTCTCTCTCTCTCTTGTCTCACTAAATGTTTACATAATTTAAAGTTCAATGCTTTTTTTACCGGATTGTTCTCTAGAAATAAAAGAACACATAATAAGTTTAGTTTAATGGTGCGAATTATATTCATAAAGACATCAATTGTTTTTATTTTTTTAATTATGTTGCCTCTCTTTATATTTATAGTCAAATATTTGAAATCTGAGGTTCAAATTTAAACTTTATACAGCTCACACCTTAAACTAATGGAGATAAAATATTACACAAAAATATTAGACATTAGAACTACATTTCATTCTTCTATTAGAAATTAGGAGCATGAGCAATCTAGTTAGCTACAGTGTTCAACTTTCTTGAGATCCATTTGAAGCTACAAAAACTCAACGATCTTTCAAGATTAATGACAAGCTCCAATTATGTCAGACAATCCCATTCAGGGCAATTTTGCTTCTAGTTAACAATCTGCACTAGAGGAAAACAATCAGATTCAACAATAATATGCCTAACTAAATCCATTCTCACTACCCCATGACAGACCAGCCAGCATAGCCTCGGCTTCATATTTGAATAGACACAGGATCAGTAGGCTTACCAATAGCTGCCAAACAAATACCAACAGAATTTCGCACAACAAATCCTACTCTAGCAGACTGAGACTTACCATCAAATGCTCCATCAACATTAACTCTAATCACCTCCATGTTCAAAATCTCAGAGCATTATCAGCCTCCATGGTTCTTGCATCAGCAGCTTCAGAATGCTGGGACACCAATTTTATTCATCTACTATAGAAGTTATTCAAGACCATTCAATGACCTGGCACGGTTCAAATCCCATAAACAAACTTCGTCTTTTATAAATACAGTGTTCTCGAAGCCATTCAACCTCATTTTTTCACCATTCAACTCAAGCCCCTTCTACATATCGTTCCCCATACTAGATCCTCTATGTTGAAGCCTCTCGTAAGTACAGTTGGCAGTATCAAACGAAACGCAAATCTGAAGCTCTTTCTAATTTCATCACCGTAAAAGATTATGCAAAAAAAGTAATTGGACTGCAAAATATCAGGCATTTACAAAGTGGAAACTGATGTACAGATGTTTTTTTTCCATACAACCCTGTGGAATGAATTTCTAGTCTCACTATTATTGACAAAGTAAGTGATCGGATTAAGCAACTGGGCATTCAGATAAGGAAGCGAAAAAATTGTGTGTGGTATGCATTAAGTAATGATGAGAGGGAAAAAAAACAGAAAGTCTTGAAGAAGAAATTGAAATGATAAGGACAAAAATTTATGTTAGGCACCAAGAAGATAAAAAAAGAAATTGAACGGATAAAAAAAAAAAATTAACATAGACTTTGTACAGTGAACTTCACAAAAATCTCAGAGGAAATATTCTTTTAATCCACAAATGATCCAAAAAGCACACAACATCTTGAAAGCTGGAAAACTATTGACATAAAACCGTGTAACTAAAAATCATTGGTACATTACCTGATCAAAATGTCTCCAAAAATCCACGCCAAAGCAACTAAATAATACATCCATTTTTGAAAGAAAACTGAACCTGATATCACAGATGGGCAGGTCACACAAAGCTACAAACATCTGGCATTGAATACATACATACCATTCAAGATAAAATCTCTAAAGGACATAAAGCTTTTTAGAAACAAAATTATCTTAATCATTATGGGTTCTTCTCCAGGAAAATAGCTTGCCTGTAAATATGCAACATGATAGTTAAGATTCAGTATCAAAGCTCTTCATTGCAGTCCCCGTTGCCAACAGGTACAAGGCTTTCCACATAATTCAAAATACAAGGGCTAATGACATATTTGTGGATAGCAAACATCTTAGATTCATTGGCAGTGAGATTGATCATAACGACATTTCTTTCATCATCCTTCACTTTAAATCCAGCTGCACTACGTCCAGGCATTGCAACAAAATGGCAGACCATTTCGTTCCTCCAAATAGTCTCGGGAAGTAACCAGGGAGGGTGGTTGACACTATATTTCTTAGTCCAACTCCATCTTCCCCCAGATGGATCTGTACCCTCCTCTATCACCCACAAATCTATCAAAGAAGATTCAAAGTTTCCAATGGTAGTGTGACAAAGCATAGCAAGTTTATTCTCATGCATAGTAAGCCTGGTGTGTTGTGAATCAAGTGATTTAGGGGCTGAAATAGGTAATGGTATCAACGTAAATACTTCGATCGCCATGTCATATGAAACTAACACATGTCGATTTTCATCCCTCTGCTCCACATTTAGATTAATCCCAAACCAAAAGATAGCTCTGTTAGTACTGAAAGGTTGAGATTTAATATATACACCATCTAAGTTCCCAAATTGTACTTCCTTCCATTGCCCTGTGTTTAATGAATAATCTTTTACTTGATTAACAAATAAATCAGAAACTCTAATACACACAATCTTGTAATCGTTAACAATTGAACTGAACCCAAATCCCATCAGAAAAGAATTAACAACTTTAGCCACCAGTCTGACCCGCCTACTTGCTGGATTCCACAATACCATGGAACGATGGGCATAATTAAGTCTGGCACTGAGCAAGAGCAAGCCATTGCTGGAACCGATGATCCAGCCATCCCAAGAGAGATCAATCAGAGGTGCGCTTTGAACTTCATGGAGTTGCATCTCGTTATCGAGCAAATAAAAGTGCGACTGCGAAAAATCAGTTGGAGAACGCCCTTGGAAAATAAGAGTCGGGCTCTGATGATTGGAGTGGCGGAGATGTTCTTCGACGAAAGATGTGGTTTTGATGAGATGTTTCCAATGTTTGGAGACACATTGAAATCGGATTAGGGATCTTATCGGAAGTCGTTTGAGAATGTTTCTGATGATTTCTTCGGGAAGAAACGGTGTATCGCCATACATAATTACCTGCTTCAACCTCATAGCGCTTGGCTGAGTAGAACGCATCTATCAGAAGAAATACTTTGCAATCAAATGGCCTTTAAGGATTACACGAGAATTGAAACAATTTGAAAACCGAGAGAGCTATACAGCTACATCACACATGGCCGCTTGCATCGGCTTTTAATTTTTTTTTTTGGGCCAATAAAAAATCACTACAAATTAAAACGATGACAGACTCTATGAATCACATAGTCACGTGTATCTTCGTATTTGACTTCTCTCTATTTTCTCATCTCATTCATTTTTTCTTCACTTCTCATTTCAATTATTAAATTTATTTTTTAAATAAATAAAATTTAATACTTCATAAAATTATTATTATATTTATTTTTTTTATAAAATTTCACAATTTAATAATTATTTTATAAAATATTAAATTTCAACCATTTAAAAATAAATTTAATAATTAAGATGAAAAGTACAGAGGAAATGAATAAGAAAAATAAAAAAACTGAGTTCCTTTTTTTAATGCTCCTTCCACCAGTCCCATGAAGGACATTCTATAGTATCTATTTAATCTTATTTATAAATTATAATATCTCTTTTTAATAATATTTAAAATTTAAAATTAATTTTTATAAGTGAAAAAAGTAACATAACTTTACTTTTTTATATTTTTTATGTAGCAGTATATTTAAAATTTTACATGCTTTTATTATTTTTACCTTTTTATAGACATTAATAAAATTGGTAAGAATAACTGATAAAACAAATCGGATGAGTACTATACATATATACTCAAGGTTTTTTTTATTTTGGGTATGCCATTTCAGAGTTGTTTTTTTTTTTGTTGTATACCATCTTTAATTATTTTTTTTAGGATTACTCACTTCATTGAATATGATAAAAAAAATGATAATAAAATTCCTCTAAAATATAATAAAGATAATTTGGTCATTCAAAATACCATAATTCTTCTAAAGTTTTTAGGGACTTTTCTATTATTAATAAATTTATATAAATTACTAAATTATCTTTATTAAAAATAAATGATTTATAACTTTTTTTATTATATTAACAACCTTTATTTTTATATTTGTAATAATATAACAGTAAATAATGAATTTAACATACAAAAGTTATAATTTGTTGTTGCATTGTTGTGAATTTAAGAAGGAAAGTTGCGAATATAAAAAAAATTATGAATCATTTATTTTTAATAAAAATAATTTGATAATTTATATAAATTTATTAATAATAGAAAAGTCTTTAGGGACTTCATAAAAATTATGATATTTTGAAAGATCAAATTATTATTTATATATTTCAGAAAAATTTTATTATTATTTTCTCCGTTATAAAATACTTTTTAATTGAATTACATATTTAAGAAGTCAATTAATTATTTTTAAAATTATATTCATTCCGATCCTATTCATAAGGTAGAAAGATAATTTTTTTTTATCTATAAGTCATATAATTAAATTTTCTTCACAAATTTTTCTTCTTATCCTTTGCTGAATATTGAAGAAATAAAATCTATTATTAAAGTATATATATTTAATATAAATAAAATTAAAAATTTATTAAATTATTAGAGAAAATTAATAAGTTTTAATATTTTTTTGTTGAAGTAAAATATGTTAAAAGTGATTTATAAATAAAATTAAAAGACTATATTTTTTATTTTTTTATTTAATAGAATGTTTCAATTAGAAAATCCTATTAATTATATCTCAAAATTAAGAGTAAGTTTTGAAAAAAATTATAGTATTCATTTTTTAAATTGATATCTTATAATTCTTATTTTTAAATGTGCTTGCGTGTGTTTGTGTAATTTTTTTTTTGAATACGTGTCTTTCTTTTAAATGCAATCTTATTCAAGATATGATCGAATATTAAATGTAAGTATAATTTTCAATAGTTATTTAAATTTTTATTTATCATGTTATGAGAGACAAGTCTTTTTTGATAAACCAATCCTTGTTGATGTGTGTGTGAATTTGTTAAATTATAAAACTACATGATTATTTTAAATTTAGGGAAAAAAACTTACATATAATATTTAACATTCTATACTTAATATGCTTGTTTTCATTTAAATCAAGACATGTGTATTTTTTTTAAAATTATTTATTATATAACAAATTCTTAATATTAATATTATTAACATATTGCCAATGGCCTTGTAGCCTAATAGCTTGCAAGCTTCCCTATAAGTGGGAGATTGTAGGTTCTATCGTGCTTTAACTTCAAGCCATTAGTGTTTGCCTCTTTAATTAAAAAATATTATTAACATAATAGAATTTACAAGTCTTGATTTAATTGGGTAAAAGTATATAAAATTAAATAAATAAGTTTTGACCTTAAAGTTATATGATCATTTAATTAAAAATTTATAGTCTTGAATTTTATTTTTAATGAAAAATTCAGAAATTTTAATTTTAAGGGATTAAAAAATATAACTGATGAAACTGTGAAAGCTCAATTTGAATAAAATAAACTAAAGAGATCCAATTTAAAATTAAAAGAAAGTATGATGACACGCAAATTAATTTTTCCAACTACTTATATTTTATACCACATTATTTTTTAATGATGATATTGATATCACATAAATTTGGGCTTAATTGAACATTATTATGATTTAGGCCATCTTGTACTATTAGAAAATACTTGCCAAATTCATGATTTTTATTGCTAATTTTCGAAATAATTACTGGGATAATTTTTCCTACATGATATTTCCCATTCTCTTGCAAGTTGCATGTTGAAAAATATTATTTTAACATTAGGCAATTGATTGGATACAAATTAGGAGGTGGGATTTTACATTTTGGATTTTTTTTTTGAATGAATGCTGATCTTCATTAAATTTATTTTACATATACATCTAATCATTATATTTTATTCTGATGTAGGTGGTCACTTGAATAAGTTGTGACTTGCTTCAATGAGCCAAGATAGGTTAAGTGGCATGGCACCAATTAGGAGGGAGTCAATGAAATTGAATGGTTGATGTTGCATATTGTATAGAGATTTTAAAAAGTGATCAAAATGCCAAGAATATTCAACACATTTTGGAGAAATAATTCGGGCAACTACAGTGGGAAATGATCAATATTACCATCATGTTAGAATTGCATTTATCATTTTGTATTTCACTTAGCTCATAAATCATTTGGTGTATAATCAGGTTATAATTGCAATTAGAAATTAGTATCTTGTATTTTTGCTTAGAAATAATGCATTTAATTTTAGGTCTATTTGACAACAATTATAAAACACATAAAACCAATCTAAATCTAAAATCTAAAGGAACTCTAAAATTGCTCATTGAGAAGAATGACTTAGAGTTGACCTATACTCCATTAACTCATCATCTTACACTTTGCTATTTGGTTAGTGCTTGAAGGATTCTTAAGCTTTTGGGGGCAAAATCAATTCTTGATTTTTTTGCTGAGTCAATTTACAAGTCTTGACAGTTAATATTAAAGATTTTAGCTGTTCAGATATTACATTTAAAAAAAAAATTGGGGACAAAATCAAATGAACACAATGTCTACCAACAGAGAGAAAAGAAGCTAAATACCAAGTACAATAAAATCAAATGAAATGAAACTGACCAACACCAGTACTGCTGCTAGACATTCTTGTAGAGTAGAATATGCTCCTAAACAGCAATGCAATGCCAATCAGGACAAGCAAGCCGATGAACAACAGAGTTAATCAGAATTCAGAAGCTGATAATTAGCCTCAAACACAACATAACCAGATTCAAAATTGCTCCTTCCTGAGAGCCAAAGCCTCTCACATGAAAATATAAGTTGAATAAAAGCCCCTATACCAGCTTTCTAGGCAGACAGCAACTAACAAGTTAGGATGTGTGTGCAATTCTTTATCTCCAGAGTTATGAAATAATAGTGGAAACAGCCAGAAAGTGGGGAAACATGGGTTTTGATAATACTAAATAGAAAAAATGAATCACAACGCAAGAGAGGAAACTGATTCCGGTCAAAACACTTGCCCAAATATGTCCAAGTACAGACTGGCAATCAAAACGAAGGAAATCAATTACAATTAACAGAACAATAACCCACAGTGCAGTGATTCTAGCTCTGGAGAGGCCAGATCGTCCCAAATCTTGAATTTACTCAAAATGACGCAAATTCTCTTCCCTTGACTGAAATGAAGGTTATATATCCCAAAAGCTATCATTAATCACTACTAACACTGCCCATACCACTAGCTACACCTAATCCTTGCCTGTGTACCAACCAGTTACACTTACGGTTGTGAAACTTGGGATAAGTCTCTTGACCACTAGGGTTAGCCTTCTTGGATCTTCTAGTATAGGTCTTAAAAAATGACTTATAAATCTTTTTAAAAAATTTAGTTATATCATAATGCTTGGCGCAAAAGCATGAAATAACAATTTTGGTGAACAGAGTGGTTGATGTCAACTGTGATTAAATAAAACATACGGAAAAGAAATCCTTGCGAAAAAGGGGGGAAATGATGAGGGATAATATAGTTAGCCTTTCAAAACTGTCTAAAATAATATCGTGGGATACATCATACAAGATCCTTGTCATGGTCCACTACCATCAGTTTCGTAGTGCTTGAGAGGGAAGGAGGACATTCAGATAAGGAAGTGAAAAAATTCTGTTTGTTATTCATGAAGTGATGAGAGGGGAAAAAAAAAGTCTAAAAGAAGACAAAAAATACGTTTGGAAGGCACCAAGAGGTAAGAAGAAAATAAAAATTATATTATGAATGAGATTGAATGATCCCCAAAAAAAAAAAAACCTATCTGAATTCTTCCAATCCAATAATAATCCAAAGGGCACGCACTCTTTTGTAAGGTGGAAAACTATACATAAACCACTGTATTAGAAAATCATTGGTATCTTGGATAAAATGTCAAAAAAAATTCACAAACCATATATTCATCTTTGAAATAAAACTGAACAACCTCGTATTATAGATGGGTAGGTCACATAAAGCTACAAACACCTGGCACTGAATATCTACATCAGCAATCCAGATAAAATATAAAGGGCATCAAGTCATACACATAAAAAATGATATGAACTGCGAGGGTTCCTTGCAAGCAAAGTAGCTTAAAGTAAATCTGCAATATAACAATTAATTTTTAGCATCAAAGCTCTTCAATGTGTTTGCTGCCAATCAGTACAAGGCTTGCCACAAAATTGAAAATATCATAATCGATGCCATTTCTGGTATCACAAGAAACGCAAATCTGAAGCTCTTTCTGTTTTCTTCAACTTCAAAGCATATACTAGAAACTAATTGTGCTGGAAAATCAGGCATTTTCATAGTGTAACTGATGTATTGATTTTTTCCCCACAACCCTATGGAATGAATTTCGAGTCTCATTGTTATTGACAAAGAGAGTGTTAGGATTAAGTAACTGGGCATCCAGATATGGAAGTGATAAAATTGTGGCTGGTATGCATAAAGTGATGAGAGGGAAAAACATAAAAAGTCTAGAAGAAGAAATTGAACAAGGACAAAAATTTATGGCAGGCAGTTAGAGGTAAGACCAAAAAAAAAAAATTGAAATTGAAAGGATTGAAAAAGATTATCATAGATTTTGTACAGTGAACTTCCCAAAAATCTCAGCAAATATTATTCTTATCCACCAATGATCCAAAGAGCACGCACCATCTTGTAAGCTGGAAAACTATTTACATAAACCATTGTATTTTAAAATCTCAAGTATATTATCTGGACAAAATGTCTCCAAAAATCCATGTCAGATTAATCCCAAACCAAAAGATAGCCCTGTTAGTACTGAACGGTTGAGATTTAATATACACACCATCTAAGTTCCCAAGTTGTACTCCCTTCCATTGCCCTGTGTTCAATGAATAAACTTTTACTTGATTAACAAGCGTCTCAGAAACTCTAATACTCACAATCTTGTAGTCGTCAACAATTAAACTGAACCAAAATCCCGTTAGAAAAGAATTAACATCTTTAGCCACCAGTCTGACCTTCCAAATTGCTGGATTCCACAATAAGATGGAACGATATGCATAATTAAGTTTGTCACTAAGCAAGAGCAAGCCGTTGCTGGAACCAATGATCCTACGGTAAATATGCAATATGATAATCAAAATGAATCCGTTGAGATGAGAAGTGGAGAGGAAATGTAGCTAGGTCTATCTAGTCTAAGGGTGGAGATGGGATGAAGAAAAAGGAAAAAAATGGAGAAGCCGTGGGGAGGATATGTTCTTGTGCATCTTCCATTGTGTAAACGAAAATCATGTTTTTTTTTTTTTTGGATAAATTGGTTCATTGGTCAAAAAGAATCTTGTGTCTATAAAATATGGATAAGATTTTTAAAATTTGGGATGTATGGTGATCCACATTGATATATAAGGGTTTATTATTGAAAATTTAAAAATTTACTAAAGGTTTATTATTGATATATAATTATATATCATGACAAATATAATAAACCAATCATAATACAAAAAATAATAAATGTTAGGTTATTTATTTAATTTAGCTTTATAAAATAGGTTATATCGGCGAAAGCTCCATTTTTTGTAGGGATAGTCAAATTGAAATGTTATATTCTTATTGGTTGATTTTTCTCTTGGTACACTATCTTTTTTTTTTTTTTTCCATAGTTTCTTTTGGCATGCCATTGTTTTTTTTTTCTTTTTGGCATACCATCTCTTTCTTCATAGTTCCTTTTGGTATGCCATTTGTTTTTTTTTGGCATACCATCTTTCTTTTACCTTGATGAATTCGAATACCATCTTTAATTTTGAGTATTCCTATTACATATTTAAAAAACTGTCTTTAAAATTATATATTCTCTTCATATTTATTTTTATTTAATAAAGTGTTTTGATTAGAAAAATCTTATTAGTTACATCTCATAATTAATTGCACTTTGAAAGATTCAAAATATCTTGTATTCTTAATTTTTTTTGTAATATCAGTTTGCAAGTGTTACTCGTTGGTATTAAGAATTTCAGTTACAGAGATATTGCATATTTTTTTAAAAAAAAATTGGGGCAAAAAAGGATCTTCACATGCATTAAACACCATAATGAACAAAATGTTTTACCAACCGAAAAAAAAAAAAAGAATTGCAACACCAGATACTGTTACTGGACATTCTTGTAGAGTAGAATATGCTCCTAGATAGCACTATAATGCCAGTATGGACAAGCAACCCACAAACCACACAGTTAATCAGGATTCAAAAGCTGATAATCAACCTAAAAAAACATAGCCTAACCAAATCCCTCTGCATCTCCTTCCTGAGAGCCAAAGCCTCTCACATGAAGATGGATGTTGAATAAAAGCCCCTATACTAGTTTTCTAAGAAGCTGACAACTAACAAGTTAGGATGTGCAATCCTTTTTTTTTTTTTTTTTTAAGTAAGCAGCATGTGCAATCTTTATCTTCACGACAATACCAAGTAATAGTAAAATATAGGATAATTTGGGTTTTACTATTATTGATTCCAATAGTATAACTAAATCACAATATAAGAGAGGAAACCGATTTCAGTCATCAAAATGCTTGCCTCAAACACATTCAAGCACAAACTGACAATAAAAAACAGAAGAAACCACAGTTATAATTAACAGGCTCTTGAGAGGTCAAATCTTTCACAAACCTTCACTCAAAATGATACAAATTCTCTTCCCTTGACTGAAATGAAGGTTCTATATCATAAAATCTATCATTAATAACTGCTAACACTGCCTAAACCTTTGGCTGCACCTAATTTTTGCTTGTGCGCCAACTCAACACATTACACTTACGGTTATGAAACTTGGGATAAGTCTCTTGACTACTAGGCTTAGCTTTCCTAGATCTTCTAGTATAGGTCTTGGAAAATGACTTGTAAATCTTTTTTGAAATTTTAGCTATATCATAATGCTTGTTGCAAAAGCGTGAAAAAGCAATTTTGGTGAATAGAGCAGTGAAGGTCAATCATGATTAAATAAAACATATGGATAAGAAATCCTTGCAGAGGGGGAAAAATTAAGCTGATGAGAGATAATATAGTCAATTGTGGGATGCAAGATCCTTGTCATGGTCTATTATCATCTCTTTGGCAGTGCTTGAGGGAAGAACAATGAGAGATAAAAAAAATAAAGTCCAAAAACTGGTGTTTATTATTCAGTTCCATCTACCAAAAAGGGCCATAAAGTATAAAAGGGAAAGGATTAAAAAAAGAAAAAGTACAGCCCAATCAAATTCAGCCAACCAAACTTTGGTTGTGCAAAATGTTGTCGGCCAAGGGCTCAAATCAGATCCAATGTCTACGGCTGCGGAATTGAAGCGGGCGAGGAGCTCCGTTTTGATGAGGAGAACAAGTGACTCCGGTTGCGGACTTGCATCGGCGATGAAGGCTAAAAGCCATTGTAGCGTTTATTGGAGACATTCTTGGGCAAAAAGGGTCGATAGCTATGCTTTGATTTTATCCAGGTTAGAGAGATAATGAGCTCCCCTTTATAGATGATATGAAAAAAATAACTTTGCCTCATATCTGTATTTGGTCCGACAGTCATTAGAAGATGAAGCTTCCAAAATAGCGTGCTGCTTGTTCAATGGTGTTGTCCTGTTAAGAATGGGTCTTTCTGTTTCTGAATCCCAGGTACATATTTCTTTCCAAAAGAACTTAGCATGCTGAAATTTCTTCATTTGATGAAAGAGATTGGGTTTGTTGGCCTGGTGCACAGTAGAACTTAGTTCACACTTTCCATGGGGTTTTTTTTTAATCATTCAATTCCGACCCATTTAGCGTGCAGAGACCGAAATCGGACTAGCCTTTGAACTTTGAATAAACGTAAGTTTGGTCCACAATATTAGTTTTAACTTCTAAATAGATATATATATATATATACACACACACTGAAATGGTAGGAAGTAGAAGAGAGAAGAAACAGAGTAGAACAAAGGAGAAATAGGGAGAGAGATGAGACAGAGACAAGAGATAGATAGAAGAGAGGATAGAGACTGAACAATATTTTTCAGATTCAATCATAAGCGTAGCCTCAGATTACAATTAAGGTCCATCATATAGGTTCCCAAATCCTTTATTTTCTGCAGCAACTAACTAACCTCAACTAACCAACCAAATATTCTTTACTTCTTTATTTATCCTCTTCAAATTATAAACTTACCAAAAAAGTTATACCATTCAACCCAAAATTAAATTACTGATTGAGAAGAGTTTATCCTTTTCCCTTAGTATCTTGAGGAAAATTAATTTTCATTGTCAGTGGAACATACTTGTGTCTCATAAAATTAAATCACTTATTTATATGTACTTTTGTTAAAAAAAATTTCATTTATTATAAAACTACATTGGGTGGAAAGTTAAAATCTGTATATAACCCGCAATCCTAACCATCACCTCCACCCAAGATTATTAGTTATAAAACTCTCTTATTTCTTAATCTCCTTCCATACCCACAACTCTAGAGATCTTCTCTGTTATAAAGCAATCTTCCACAAATGAAAAGTATTTAGGCCTCAATACCTTGGAAAGACTGCCTGATTCCTAACCCCCCCCCCCCCCCAAAAAAAAAAAAAAAAATCCTTCTTCAAGCGTATTTCTTCCCATCTGACCAAGTGAATGTTTTTCCTTCCCAGCGTGTGAAATCAGCCCAAATCTCCAAGCTTCAAGCTTCTTAAGTAATTTTCCTAGAATTTCTTCACCCATAATATTTTTATCTTTGCCTGAATCAATATAAGTCCCTAAATATTTGCCTACCTTGGAAGCATACATAATACCCCAACAATCTGCTAACTCTTTCCTCACGTAACAAGCTACATGAGAACTATAAACCGTAACTGGAGGATGATGTGCTATAAAATTTATTGAACTAGAATGTACAATACCATTCATGAAAATGATCACATCAATGTCATTGTATGCTATAAAATTCGTTGGAGAGTACAAAGAATCTTTACACAAGAAAGGCGCTGGTTGGGTACCCAAATTGAAGGGACCGATTAAAATTTAAGCGATTTTGTGGGATACAAGATTCATCTATGGGAAGACTTGGAGGAACAATCAGGTTTTGAGGATATGAAGAAGCCATCATTTGATTTTGTTGTTGAGCTTCAACATAAACATCATGAATGGTGATATCATGGATGCTTTTTCTTTCTCTCTTTTTGTTCCCTTTCGTAGTAGGATAATCCTTGTTGTTGTTCCCTTTCTTAGCTTGGCGATTAAAGTATTTCTGAGCATGACTGGCAATCTGAGTTGGCGTCCTGGTCCGCACAACATTTTGGAAATGTTCTTCCAATCTCCCTTCCTATATCTTTGCAATCCGTCCACAAATAACCTATAATAAGAAAGCCAAAAATAAAAATCAAGACATTTATGATAAAAAAGAAAAACAAGAAAACAAAATCAAATGGCATGCACGTACAGGTGTTCTTCTTCAGTCCATCGGGTTCCCTTGTTGATTTGGGTATGGATAGTTGTTGGTGCCTTTGAGTTGAATGGAGATTGATTCACCAATTGTTGCCTATTAGAGAACCTAGGGTCGAATGAAAACACAGATGTCAACTGTGACAACCCTTGATGTTGGGGAGTTGAGTGAGCATAAGAAGGGTCCAATTCTGCCATGCAGGCAGGATTTGCCTTCGTGATATTTTGTGAGTTAGACTGATTTAATGGAGGTTGAATTTGCATTGGAACAGTTGGCCGATACATTGGGGTTGAGTGATGCCTTGAAATATCATAAGGAACCTGTAAGTTAAATTGATGCACTAGCTGTGATTGGTGCATTGGAACCTCATGTGAAAGATTTTGTGGCTCTAATTGATGCATTGATGGAATGGCATGGTTCTGGTTTTGATCCATAGGACGGACAAGCATGTCTGTGGTAAAATCATATATACTGCCTCTTTCACTCTTTTTGTTGACTCGATTAGCTTGGTGTTCATAGTATTTCTGAGCATGACTAGCTACTTGAGCTGTTGTTCTTGTTAGCACCACATTTTGAGAAATGGCAGTCCATTTTCCCTTCCCATATGTCGTCAATCCATCTAGGAAGCGTCTGTTAAAAAAAAAAAAAAAAAGCAAATAATATTATATTATTTAGTAAATGTTGTACATATGTTTATTAATTTCCATTATGTCACCTATGATCCCCCATTTTAAGTGTTATTACGGCATTAAGCAATTATCTTCACTACTATATTAGTATTGAAATGGAATAAATTTTCCTATTGTTCTATACATCCTCTAAGTAATAAAAACATACAAGAGTTCTCTCCTATCTGCTCTCTTTAGTTTTATAGATAAGTTATCTCAGAAGGAATGGATGATTTATTTTATAAGTCATTTTCTATAAAAAAAATGAGTTAATTCTATGTCTAGAGTAAAATATTATAAATAAAAAATTATTTTTAAAAATGATGCATTTAAATGAGAATAAATTGATAAATTTCTGTCTACGGGAGGAAGTATTATTTTCATTTCACTAATTTCTTAGCAACTTAGCCAAATAAGTTCATAAGAAAAGTCATCCAATTAAAAACACTCCAAGATTAAAGCGAAAAAAAAAAAGCAATTGAAAAGGAAAGATATCTAGATACATACATGTGTTCAGCCAAAGCCCATTTTCTTTTCTTGGTGCCAATATTGTTTGGTGGCTCCAAGTTCAATGAAGTCTGATTCATTGAATTCCAGTTGGAAGGCCAATTCTCTGGATGTATGGGAGGAACTCGAGCTTGACCCACTTCATTCTCACATAGTGGAGCTTGATTTGCTTCATTCTTGTCAAGTGGAGCCTCACCTGCTTCATTTTCATATAGCAGAGCCTGACTTGTTTCACTCTCGTCTAGGGGAGTCGGACCCTCTTCATTCTCATCAAGCAGAGCTGGACCCACTTTTCTTATGAACTCGAGTGCGGTGTTCAACACTCTAACAATGTCATCATGAGCATTCTTGTCTAGTGGAGCCTGACGTGTTTCATTCTCATCTACCAGCGGCTGACTCGCTTCATTCTCGTCAAGCGGAGTGTGTGCATAAAATTCCATTGTCATTTTTTGGACCTGTGAGTATATCAATTCAATTCTATGTTAATTTAGAGCTTTATGAAAAATAATTACTTCAATTCCATGCTAATAACTATAGGACCAAATAACAAATTATTTGGGTAAATAATACACACACTCTAAAAATTATATTCTTTATCTATATTTATAGTAATTTATATTTTAATTTATACTATATTTTTTGTAAATTTATATTAGACGGGTTTTACTTAGATTAATATTTTTTAGGTTTTAGTAAATTTTATTATTTTTATTAATTCAATAAAAATATTTTGATCTTAAACAGGCACAGTCAGAATTGCTAATGTTTTTCTCTTCACCCCCTAAGATTTGTTTTTTGGCCCATCCCAATTTGCAGACCTTAATCTGTAAGAATGAAATTCTTTTTTTTTTTAAATGCAGATACAGATTTTTATTTTTATTTTTTTATAGATAAAACCTGACTTGTTTTCATCACTATTCACGTGTAGCATGGAGAGTTTTACATTTGAAAGGATTGAAAAGAATGGAACATGCGTACGCTTATGATGAGTTGAACCAAATAACAGGATTATACGTTTCATAAATTTTGATCATGAGATATCGAGAAAATTAAACAAATAAAAATCAAGTTCATGATTATGCAAAATATTTCAAGGAAAAAAAAAAAAACTTATGCAAAACATAGTCGGACATAGATGTTGAAAAATAAATTATAAGATGACAGCTGCAACATAAACAAAAGATTTCATAGTTCTTCCTCATGCATCCACTCAAGCATATATGAAAGTTAAGAAATATGGAGTTAAGGCTTACCTGTATGAGCAATTAACGAAAACTATACTCTTGCACTTCGAAAGTCTTTGTAGAGATTCCTGATCAACTTTGGTAGAGAAATTGGATAACTCTTCTTCATTATTTATACCTATTTTTAATATAAAGGAGAGAAGAAAATAATTAAATAAGTATTTTAAATAGTTTTTTATTGGATGTTTAAGTAATTTTTTTATTCGATACAGTTATAAAGAATCAGATTTCTTTTTTTTATGAACCAATAACTATGTGAGTTCAACTGGACATATGTCAAACTCCAATTAAAATTAAATTAAATTAAATTAAACTATTAACGAATTTTATTCACAAATTTCACGTATCTATTTACCTTTGTTCAATGTTTATTTATATAATAATCTGATTGTAACTGCAAAATAAATGCAACTCACGTAATAAAGATTTAGTTTGAGATTATCAAGTTCATAAATTTCACTTATTTCCTTCTCAATTTACATTATTTATATTTTAATCTAGAAAAGGTGAACAATATATATTTAATTTCGATAGAGTTAAGTTAAAAATATATTTTACAAATATCTTTTGTTCATCGTATCGGATTTGGTCAATGGTCATATTTAACTAGTTGGTTATGGTGTGAAAAAAATCTAAAATTTTATTCAAAATAAATATAATTCAACTATTTAAATTGAGATTATCAAGTTTATAAATTTGACAAGTATCTTTCTCAATTTTTACACATCTTTTTCGGTTTTTGGAATAGAATTATTTATTTTTAAGCTAAAAAAACAATATATGTATATAATTTTAAATAGAGATAAGTTAGAAACATCTTTGACAAATATCTGTTGTATAGCTATCATATCGGATTTGGTCTTAGAGATTATATTTATTATTTTAATTTAAATAATAATTTACCCCTTGTCTAACTTTTTTAATACTTTTATTTTTTTTAAAATCTAAATCCATTTATTCTAATTTGATCGGAAGTAAGTAGTTAAAGTATACAAGTCTAAGTATTTTAAATTTTTTTACAAGAATCTTAATTTTTTTTAAAGAAAACATATTATTTAATTTCTTTCTTCTAAGATAGAAAAGACGAAAATAATTTTGGATACAATTTTTGGGAATTTTTTTGGATACAGTTAATGTGAAAAAAAAAAGCACACACACACTAAGTAATGTGAAATTAAAAAAATTTTCAATTGATTTTGAGAAACTAAGTAATAAACTGTTATATAGTTAGTAACAAATTTTAGAAGATAAATATTAAACTCCTTTATTTAAAATGACAAATTAAGATTTGAATCTTTATTGAAAAATGTAATTATATTTAATGTTTAACTGTACTTCAAGTAAAATTGTCTCTTTAAGGAGTAGAGCTGGAAAAATGTGGGTGTAAGCTAAAAAAGCCTGCTGAATGGTAGATTGAGATTTTTTTTATTTTTCAAAAATTATAATCTTTACATTTTTTTCTCATATACATGAAATTATTTTTACACTTATAGATTATTTTTCTAAACGACAATTTTACAAGCTTAAAGCAGTGAGACAAAGAAAGAATCAGTTCAAGTATGCAGCATGAATATGAAACCATATATTATATTTCATACTATTGCAAATTTTATTATTTTCTTTTGCGTGATTAATTCTTTTAAATTTTTATTTATATTCATACCATAAATTCATCAAATAAATCTCTTCTATCAATCGGCTCTACTTGCACTGACAAATAATAATAATAATAATAATAATTATTATTATTATTATTTCTCTTTTTCAACATAAATAGCTGGACAAGTTAAAATTAATTAATGTTTTAAATTTCTAGAATTACTCTCAATGGAATTCATTAAATATAAAATAATGAGTTATTAAGATTTTTTTAATTAGTTGGAAAATGCTAAATCAAGAAGTATTATATAAAGTCTCATAATAAAAATGATAGAAAAGTGTCTTACAATCATTTTGAGAGAGAGAGAGAGAGAGATTTATAAATATTTATTCAAGTATTCATTAATCTTTGAAATCTTTTACCATTATAATTACTTTCTCACATCTAGTTCACCTAACTTTTTTTAATTAAAGAAGCAACTCCTTTTAAAAAAAAAAACAATTTTCATTATTTTGAGGGAAACTAATATCTAAAAAAATTTAACTATAAAAAATAAATAAATAAAAAAAGGGTTAGCTAGCAAGTTGTGTGGGTAAACCCATGGTAAACTCGGGTTAGGCAATGGAGTTTTAAAAAAAACTAACTTCTAAATGAGCTCTCATTTTGCCAATTCAACTCACCATATTTTGGTAGGATAGACTCTTGCTCAATCCATATTATCACATGTAAATAGAAGCACACTTGCACACGACTAAAACAAGTATATATACATATAAAAAATACCTTTAAAACCATTGGATAGAAAAATCCAGTATTGAATATATATACACACGCATTAATCATTATAGATAACCGGGCATCAAGGGTTACAAGCCAAATGATCTAAACTATCATGTGTTCAATTCCACCAAATGTGCTTCAATTCATTAGTAGTGAGAATGAACAAAAAATTGAACAAATTTAGCTCCATCAAGTCAATTTAACATCACCAATGACTCTAGAACCAATTCAAGCCATGCAAACAATTTCATGCCTCCAACAAGTACAAGGCTCTTTGAATAGTCGAAAATACAGTAACCATCATCGCCACATTTGCTAATCTCAAATCTCTTCAACTCATTCCTAGTGATATTTAACATAGTAATTTTTGGTTCATGATTCCACTTTAGATGTTCATTTTCACTAACAACAATACCATCATCACAAACAAGATGATTCCTCCAAATAGTCTCTGGACGTACCAAGCAAAGCTTCAGTATCATAAATCCATCTTAAATAGATTTGGCCACCTATCGTACCTCACATAAGAAAGGATTTCTATCCGAATAAAACACTATATTTGATAAAATGTATCACAAATCAGACCAAAAGTCTAGTTTTGTTATAAGTCAAGCACAATGCTATCCCTGTAACAGCATAAAAAAATTTTTCAAAAAAAATTGGTAAGCTAAATGGGGAAGGAGAACAATGATGATAGATACTGTAAAAATAAGATATTTCCAATCTTTGCACAAGGATTTAAATATGATGTGTCCTTACAAGAAGTCTTTTGAAAATGTCAAAAATAATATTGAGATAGGATATATATATATATATATATATATATATATTTCTTAGTGCTCGAGGGAAGAAGGAATTACTCATAAGGAAGTGAGAAAATTGAGTTTGGCATCAAAAATTTGATCTACATGAGGGCAATTCTTTCCAAATAAGGTTAATCCTCCAATGATCTAAAGAGCACATACCCTCTTGCAAGATAAGAAACAACTTCCATCAACCATTGCATTTAATACATTTCTCCACTACGAATGAAAGGAAGAGGCAGGATGTACAATTTTTCTTCCCTTGTGTGAATGATATAAAATCGTTGTTATATTACGTGGACAACAAATCCAGCCTAATCCAAACACAATAACTGACTTATATATCCATAGCTATCATTGAAAGAGAACTGAACAGCAAAATTTATACGTATGCATCAAATGAAGTTAGAAACACCTAGTAGTATATATGCATGCGCATTGATCATTCTAGATAACTTCTTCAAAGGGCATCAAGGATTACAAGTGCGGTCATTACTATTAGTAGTGAGATTGAACAAAATAGAACAAAAATGGCTTCATCATTCTACAAATAGCACACACAATTTATTTCCTCCAATTGGTACAAGGCTTTCTGTATAGGTAAAAATCCAGCGACAACCATCCTCACATTTGCTGATATCAAATGTCTTCAACTGATTTGTACTGATATTTAACAGGGCAACTTTTTCTTCAACAATTGGTTCTTGATCTGGGTGTTCATTTTCAGTAATAATAAAATCATAAACAATTTGATTCCTCCACATAGCCACTGGACGTACCAAGCTTGGAAAGAGATGGTTACTGTATTTCTTGGCCCAAGATACACCAGTACCATCCTCCATGACCCACAATTCACTCAAGTCTTCCGTAAAAGGAGAAGAAAGCACAGCAAGTTTGTTCTCGTGCACAGTAAGACTAGTGAATGAAGTAGACCAATCAGGTATTGGGATCCATTTAAACACTTCATTTGCTATGTCAAATGAAACTATCCCATCGTTATAATTTCCTGTATTTTCCTTCCACAGAAACCCAAACCAATACATAGACCCATTAACAGTGATGCTCCCAGAACGAATACCTATGTTTTTTATCCCACATTCTACTTTCTTCCATGACCCTGACCTTAAGGAATACACTGCGACCGGCAAAACATCATAAAGATAACTAGAATCATAAGGGACCACTATCTTATAATCATTAAGAATTGGACTGAAGCCAAATCCTGCATTGCGAGGGCTATCTTCAGACAGCACTGTAACAGAGGGCACCGGTCTGACCTCTCTAGTCGCTGGATTCCACAATAAAAAGCAAGGAAATCTATTACAAATACCGACTAAAAGCAATCCATTGCTGGAACCGACGACTCGGAAGGTATTCGAGGAATCGATTAAAGGGGCGTTGTCAACTTTCTTGAGTTGCATCTCACAATCGAGCAACCACAAGTCCTTCGGTTGGAGAAGAAGAGAAGGATTTTGACTGGTGTGATTGAGGTGTTCTTGGATAAAAGATGGGGTCTTGAAGAGATTCCTCCACTGTTTGCATACACACCGAAATCGGATCAGCGATTTTGCCGGAAGTCGTATGAGAATGTCTCTGATGATTTCTTCGGGAAGAAATGGCATATCTTCAGCCATTACCTTATCCTTCATGGTGCTCGACTGGAAAGAACAGATCTCTGAGAGGATAGCGTTCCGATCAACTGGATCACTACTTCTCTGGGCTTCTTCTGCAGAAAAATTTCGATGTGTCGCATCGCATTCTTGTGCTTTATATTTCAGAATAAATGATTTAATACAAATTTCCATTATCATAAAACAAATTTAAAACTTGGAGTAAATAAATTGACTTTCTTTAGAAGATTTATAAATTTTAATTTGAATTGTCAGATTTAAAATTCTCAAATCTCACATTTTCATTAAAATCTTTTGTTTAAGTAGTTTAGATTATTTCAAATATATGAAGAGAAAATGAATTAAGATTCAAAACGGAACCAAACAAAAATGAACATAACACATTTATTTATATTTTTTAATTGATAAAAAAGAGAAAAGATAGAAATAATAATTTAAGTTTTTAGGCCAAGCTCAAAAATTTTTTATGTTTGGGTTGGCTCAAAAAAGTTTGAGCCAAGTGTGATCAAGTCTGAGCTTGACTCAAATACTCAAATAAAAAAAAAATTATATTTTTTAAAATATATAAAATATAATAAATATTAATCAAAATTCTAATTTGATTGAGAGAAATTACTTAAATTATACAAATTTAAGTATTTTAACTATTTTTACAATAATCTTAACTGTTTTGTTTTAGAAAAAATTGTCAAAAAAGATTTGACCAAATTTTATTTTGCTAAGAAGACTTAAAAGAGATTTAATATTGAAGTCCTTCATTTGCATTAATTCATCAAACCAAATGACTATATTACCCCTAACAAAATCTCACTCTCTCTCAAAAATTCTCTCCTCTAGTGAGAGTTTCTCTAATCCCTTGGTAAGTGTTTGTCTTAATAACATCTCTCGCTTTCGTTGAGGAAAGTGAGTCAACATCTTGAGCATTGCTTTAGTGTGTGAATCATGCCATTGGTACCACTATTGTGTTTTCAATGTTGTTTGTGCATATCAAGTGTTGAGCTCTTGGTTTTGAAGATTGTGGAAGAGCGAGGGAACAACAAGGAGCTTATATTTTGATTCAAATTCAAGGGCTTTTTCTACTCCTAAGATTAATGCATCAATCATCAATAGCAGGTCAATAACATCTATAACTTCTTCAAATAAGGTACTCTTCACTTTCCAAAACAAGTAATCATCAACGAATGATATTTTATTATTTATAATTTATTATGATCAAGAGAGTCGATCAAAAAATCTCATCAAAGAGAGAGGGATTTCAATAGAAAAAAAAAATCGAGCAAATAGAGTGGTTAAAATATTTAAGTTTTTTTTTTGTGCTCGTTTTTTTCCCCTAGGATTTATGTAACCCCTTATATTCTATATGCTATTTGATTTTCTAGGTTCCTTACCTTGTTGAGTGGTCGTAATATTTAAGTTTCTTTTTGAAGCTCTTTTTTTTTTATCTCTTTCCCTTTTGCGGTTTAGTGTGTGGAATATGCTTCTGGTGTTCTTAAAGTTGTGAGTGATGAGTAATGTGAGATGGTCTGTGCTTAGCATTTTTTTTTTCACCTTTCTTGTTTCATACATTCATGATAATATTACACTTGGCAACATTCTTTCATAAGCTTTTGCATTTTCAATATGAATCTATAAATATTGTTTGCACTTCTATTTTTTTCTTCTCTGTTACACTTGATTGCAACCATTGTTAATTTCTTTCAATATTGCCTACTATGCATATTTGTAATCATTGGACATAGACCAATGATATGTGTTAAAGTGTGAGCATCACTGATGTGGATTGTGAAATTTATCTTCATTTGCGAGAGCCAAAGAAGTCAAAAACTAAGGATTTGAAAAGCAATAGATGATTAAATTAAGTGACAGATAATTAAAATTCAAATGCATAAAGTGAAAGAATTGTTACATATGATTGAAAACTCGTGTTTCTAATATTTTAAATTGTAACCAAATGACTTTGTTTGACATATTGACAATGAATGACCTTTATTACGTGTTGACATAAAATTATTAACAATGAAGGACCTTGTATGAAGTATTGATAATTTAGGACCTCGCTCAACTTTTGTTTTTTAATTAGTAAGGGCATTTTTGTCATTCAGCCCTCAACAATTATTGACAATAAAAGACCTTCTTTTGAAACATATCCCAAGTCCTTATAGGCGAATAAATTTATGGTGGAGTCATTTTGGGCAATTTTCTCTTTGTTTTAAGAAAAATATTATTTATAATTTTGGATAGCATTCATATAAAAGCAAACACAGTAAGTAATGTAAAATTACAAAATATTTCAATTAAATTTGAGACACTAAGTTATAAATTGTTATGTAGTTAGTAACAATAACAAATTTTAGAAGATAAATATTAGACTCCTCTATCTAGAATGACAAAATAATTCAATTTTTTTGGGTTATCAAATTTTTTTTTAGGCAAATTAGGTTTCAAGAGTCCTAATAGCTTATTGAGTTCAGACATATCTTAAAGCTTAAAGAATATTTATAAAAATATTGTTGCAAATTATCTATCAGTAAGGTACCTACATTGACAATGATATTTTCATCCAAAGTTTTACTTTCAAGATAAAAGTATTTGACATTTAAAATGAAAATATTTAACGTGCAACATTAAAAATAAGAAGAATGGCATATAAGGACCACATGACAAAATTCATTGCTTTTTTAACCTCAAATTTAGCTAAATGCCTTTACAAAGTTGGTGTTATTGCTTAGTAGCAAATTCAAAATCTAAATTTTAAATATATGAATTTGAAATGTGATTATTGTAAAATCACTTGTAAATTAGTTTGAAAATTATGAAAGTTTTTATAAATTTTAAAAGATCACTTGTAAATCCTAAAAAATTAATTATAAATAGTGAAAAACAAGTGGCAAATCAATTTTAATTTTTTTGACAAATTCAAATACTTAATAACTTGATTTGTAACTAATCACAGTCCTATAATTAAACTTCTAATATTTATAATCAAGGGACAATTTATATTTAATTTCTTTAATTGAGTCTAGTCTAATGTCTCTCTCTTTCATTGACTTATGAATCAATTTTATTTTTTAATTTCTTTCGTGTAAGTCATCCCAATTAACATGGTGGATCTTCTCATTCTCAAGCTTTATTTTTATGCATTTTAAAACTTCCCGTTTTTCCCCAATATTTGTGGTGGCAAAAGCATTACTATCATTCAAGAAGGATATATATATATATACACACACATATATATTTTATGTATGTATGTATGTGTACGCATGTATTTTTAAGGATGAAAACCTTCCATGGAAATGTAATTACGAAATGGTGGGAGAATTATCTATTAATTGGTGTGAGTGGCAAATGAATTTTCATTACTTAAACAAATAGTTGGAACTCCAAATCTTAATCTTTGTGTGTGGCAATTTAGTTAGGAGAAGTGTATCCATTACTTTCCGTATCTTAAGTGAGATGTTCTCTACTATTGACAGAGCCTACAATTCCTAATTGCATGCATGCTTTAATCTTCCTTTTCTATGCATTTTCAAAAAAGGGATAAGAACGAGAAACTCATTAGTCAAGTAGCAATTTTCTTTTGATGATTTTTGATGACAAGATTTTATGGAACTCAAGCACTTAATGCTACAGTTGCAATAGCGTGGAGGGAAAATGACCTTCTCCAATTTTCACCCGCTAGAGTTGAGTTTAACCAAAAAAAAGCTAGTTATTTATAATATGATAAATTGAGATTTGAATCTTTACTAAAATATATGCTTACATTTAATATTCAATTATATTTTGAATAGGGTTGTCTCCTATGAAAATAGAGTTGGAAAATCACGGGTTCAAGCTAAAAAGGCCTACTTTACATGAAATCATTTTTTTACTCATAAATTGTTTATCTAAATGTCAAATTTACAAGTTTAAAGCAGTGAGACAAATAAAGAATTATATCAGTTTAAGTCTACTTGAATATGAAATCATATCTTATATTTCCAGCGATTGCAAAATTTGTTATTTTCTTGAGTAATTAATTCTTTTAAATTTTAATTTATATTCACACCACAAATTCATCAAATAAATATTAGTTCCTGTTTAGGTATTCAAATCTCGTCCCTCATGTAACAATTTAGTTGAAAGTAATTTACCTTTTGCACTTTAGATGAGAAAATCTTTTCCATTGACCTAGTCTACTTGTACTCGTCGCCAAAAAAAGAATTATTTCTCCTTCTCAACATTAACTGAAAAAGTTAAAATTAATTAATGTTTCAAAATTTCTAGAATTACTTTTAATGAAATTCATTAAATAGAAAATGATGAGTTAATAAAAATTTTGTTTAATTAGTTGAAAAATACTAAATAAATAATTATTAAGAAATTATATGAAGTCTCATAATAAAATGATAGAAACAGGGCGAGGATCTTCCCCTCTTCCTTTCCTTCTTTTCCCTTTTTAACTGTTAGATCAATATATTTAGATAGTTTAGATTTGATATCCTATAAAATTATTATTAAAATGTTATATCATAGACAAATTTAAATGATAAAATTAAAATTGCTCAGATTTAATATGAATAATTTTAAAAAATATAGTAAAAACAAATAAATTAAAATAAAATATTTATAAGAGATAAAATTTAAATTGTCCAAATCTTAATCTAATGGTTAAAAATTAAGAAGATGAGGAGAGGATCTTCTCACATAAAAAAGTGTCTTACAATAATTTAAAAAAAAGGGAAGGAATGCTTTATAAATATTTGTTTAAGGATTCATTAACCCTTGAAATTTTTTATCATTATAGTTACTTTTTCACTTCTAGTTTGTCTATTTTTTTTTTGTGCCAAAGGAGTGGATCCTCTACAAGAAAACCATTTTGATTACTTTAAGGAAAGAAAGTATCTAGAAATGTAATTATAAAAAATTTAAAACTTTAAAAAAGGGATAGTTCGCTAATTGTGCAAGCTAGTGATGGACTCAAAATTAGACAACGTGAGTTGAAAAAGGCACACCTCAAATTATCTTCTATGTTGCCAATCCAACGTGCCATATGTTGGCGGGATCACACAACCCATATTACTACATGGAAATATGAGGATACATGCACACAATTAAAACAAGTAAAAAAAAAAAAATTCCCACACCCACTTAACTTCCTGTGTTTTTGGCATTCTAAAGTATCTTGATCTCACTTAAATCTGGTATTCTTGTAAACCAGATTCCTTTTTGTGCATCCCTTTGAGTAATTGAATCATTTTTCACTAAACAAAAAAGATTAAAAAAAGAAAAAGACCTTTAAAACCTTTGGTGTATTACGTCCACAACAAATCAACCGGATCCATACACCAAGGACTAAATTATATACCCTTCTTTAAAAGAGAGTAGAACAGCAAAATTTACAAACGAAATGAGTCTAATAGAGATAGAAAAATTCGGTATTGAATATTATACAAGCATTGATCATTGTAGATAATTAGGCATCAAGGGTTACAACTTACAAGCCAAATGATCTAAACTATCATATGTTCAATTCCACCAAACTTGCTTCAACTGAACAAATTTAGCTCCAGCAAGTCACATTTAATGACTCATGCAAACAATTTCATTCCTCCAACTGCTATAGTTGAAAATAAAGTGACCATCATCTCCACATTTGTTCATATCAAGTGTCTTCAACTCATTCATTGTGATATTTTTTTTGGTCAAAAAAGAGCCAATTTTATTAATATAAAAAAAATTAAGTACAAATACCAATAGCCGAAGCGAAAGAGAACACTCAAAAGACCGATGAATACAACCTAGCACACCAGAACTCCCAAAAACAGCAAAACAGAAACAGCAATAACAACAAAAAGAAAGAACACTAACAGTATAGCAGAAAAACCAAACTAACCAATCCCAATCTTAGTAAAACCAGAAATGCAATTCCTTGTATCCATAAAGTTTCCATTAACCAGATCAACCTTCAACACATCGCACAGGAAAGATGGTGCTGAACACAGTCACCCATGGGGTCCCATCCCCATTCTACCGACAACTGCCAACAAGTCAGCAGCACCATTCCCTTGCCTTTCATCAGCTAATAGAAAAATCTCAGATACAATAACTTTGCATTGCTTGGTTTGAATAGAAAGAAAAGTGGGAAGAAAATAAATAGAAGAGAAAAAAATTAAGAAAAATTTCTAAAAATAATATTTTTTTTTATTACTTTGGGGAGTTTCTTTTCACTATATTTTTCTCCTTATCCAAACTAAGAATAAAAGTTATATTATACATTGAGTCAATCTTAATTTAATTGATTGCTTAAATCACTAAACCATCATCAGAACTCCATATCAAAATTCAAAAGAGATCTCTTGACCTTCTACCAGACTATTATATAGCTGCAATTTCGCAACTGGATTTAAATAATAAAACATATAATCAAAAGAAGTGGAATGAAACCTCCATATTAATTGAGTTGTAATATTTTTATGTCCTTCAGTCAACCATTGGCTATATGCCAAGGGAACATTTAAACACATTTTGTTGTCAAATGATCTATGTGAATTTCGATTATGGAGTCTCTTCCAGAACTCATTAGGACCTGAAATTTTTATTTCTTTTCTCAAGCGCCTGCTCTCCATCATCACTCTTTAATATTTGGTTGGTGCTTGAGGGATATGGAGAGAATCAATTCTTAATTTTTTTGCCACGTCTCAACGGTTAGGCTTGGTTTGGATAAAGGAGAAAGCAAGGAAAAAATAGAGAGGAAAGAAAGCTAAAAAAAAGTTTTAAAAAATAATACTATGTATGAATCAATTTATAGGACACTTTTAAATAAAATCACACATATTATTAAAACTCATTAAATATAATTTATAATTTTAAATTTTCAAAACAAAACACGATATTTGAAAAAGCATATCACTGGTTAGACCAATAGTCAAGGCTAACAGTGATGCATTATTGGCTAGGATTCAAGAGAAGAATGTGAAAAATGAAAACTCGTTACAAGATCGTGTCCAGTAGATAAAAAATTCGATTAGTAACTTGATAAACAAGGATTTGTTGGCCATATTGGAGAAATCCGTGAAGAAGGAAATGGCTGCAGTTGGACCAGCTGTAGTTCGAGCAATGAGTCCTGCTATTGAGAAAACAATATCTTCAGCTATTACAGAGTCCTTCCAGGTCAGTTTATGTCAATTTTCCTTGTAGAAATTAGAATAGAGTTGTCTTGTATCTAAGTGACATTACACATTACAGAGAGGAGTGGATGATATGGCGGTGAACCATCTTGATAAATCAGTTAGTTCAAAACTTGAAGCTACCGTGGCTAGGCAAATCCAAGCTCAGGTACAGACAACTGATAAACAGGTGCTTCAGGTATGTATTTAATTATCTTACTTTATCTTTATGATGTACATAAAATTAATTGCTTCTTCATATCATTAAGGTATTTATTTTTTCTTCATGAGGTTCATTCTATTTTAAGTGTTAATAACTTCTTTTGTAGGATGCGCTCAAATCAATTTTTGAAACATATGTAGTTCCTGCATTTGAAAAGTCATGTAAAGCTATTTTGAGCAAATTGATTCCTCATTTCAAAAAGGCATGGTTGAACATACCTCTGCAGTGCAGCAGCACCTTGAATCTGGACATGCTTCATCGGCAATGGCTCTAAGGGCTTTTTTATCCTTTTTAATAATTTTATAATTTTTGTTATTCTTACACTACACAATTTATCATAAAGCAGATCTTGATTTGGTAGTTGGTATGTCTCTGTTCATTGAATTTGTTTTCATTGATAACCCCATTTAATACACATGTAAATGTTGGGATAAATAGATGGGAGGGGAAACTTCAGCTTCATGAAAATAGGAGACTTGTCCGATGAATATTAGAGTTTATTACAGATGAGACTATCTACTGCTATTGCTATATTTGTCCTTTTCTTATGTTGAGGTTTAGGAGGGTAAGTATTTGTGCTGTCTCAGTTGAATCAGCACAGTAGTGGCTGGCATTGGATAGGAGTTGGGAGAGTTATTGTGTCCAATGAAACTCAAAGACAAGAGTAAACGAACTCTGAATGTGATGCATAATATATGGGTGCTAATGGGAAAAATTTTGATTTTGTGAATTGATTTTGAGGAAAGAGTAATAGAGAAAAGACCTTTGTGGTAGTCTTTAAGATATTGAAAGTTGACTGCTTACTATGGACAGCTAGAAGACCGTGTCTGTGATTTTTTATGCTTTATATTGTGTAAATCCTAATCTCTCAAAAATAAATCACCTAGTTTCTTGTTTCAGACTTTACATAAACCTCTGTATTTAACTACTGTATTCCTAATTCTGCATAATCCTCTGTATTTAAAAATCATCGGTATCTTACCTAGATAAAATGTCACAAAAAATCCACAAACAATATATTCATCTTTGAAAGAAAATTGAATAACCTCATGTTGTAGATGGGTAGGTCACATGAAGCTACAAACATCTGGCATTGAATATCTACATTACCATTCTAGATAAAATCTAAAGGGCATCAAGCCATATGGGTACAAAATGATCTGAACTGTAACAGGTTCCTTACCAGCAAAATAGCTTAAAGTAGATCTGCAGTATGATAATTAAGATTTAGCATCAAAGCTCTTCAATGTGTTTGTTGCCAACAACTACCAGGATTTCAACATAATATAAAGTATCATAAGCGATGCCATTTCTCGGGATAGCAAGGTTCTTGAATTCCTTAGTAAAAAGAGATTGACCAGAACAATATTCTGTTCATTATTCTGCACTTCACATTCAGTTGCACCATTGAGTTTGAGCAATGGAATGAAATTGCAGACAATTGCAGGCAATATAAGCTATGAGAGTCGAGTTCATTCCATTACTATATCCGGATTGATGAATGCTGGATGCAGATATGCAATGATAGATGATTGTAACTTTAGTTGGCTTGTCTATGATATCAGGTTATTATATCCAGTTACTATGTGTGAATTATTTAGGACTTTGGTGTCTTCAACAAATGAAAATCATTCAGGCCTCAATACCTTGGAAAGACTCCATAATTCCTAACTCTCCCAAATCCTTCTTTAAGAATATTTCTTCCCATATGAACAAGTGATTGTTCATCTTTCCCAGCGTGTGAAATCAGCCCAAATCTCCAAACTTCTCAATTAATTTTCCTAGATTTGCTTCATCCATAATATTTTTATCTTTGCCTAAATTAATACAAGTCCCTAAATATTTGCCTATCTTGGAAACATACACAATACCCAAACAATTTCCTAGCTCTTTCCTCACGTAACAAGCTGCAAGAGAACTATAAACCGTAACTGGAGGATGATGTGCTATAAAATTTATTGAATTAGAATGTACAATACCGTTCAAGAAAATGATCACATCAATGTCATTGTATACTATAAAACTCGTTGGAGAGTACAAAGAATCTTTACACAAGAAAGGTGCTGTTTGGGTGCCCAAATTGAAGGGACTGATTAAAATTTAGGCGATTTTGTGGGATATAAGATTCATCTATGGGAAGACCTGGAGGAACAATCTGGTTTTGAGTATATGAAGAAGCCATCATTTGATTTTGTTGTTGAGCTTCGACATAAACATCATGAATGGTGATATCATGGATGCTTTTTCTTTCTCTCTTCTTGTTCCGTTTCGCAGTAGGATAATGCTTGTTGTTGTTGATCCCTTTCTTAGCTTGGCGGTTAAAGTATTTCTGAGCATGACTGGCAATCTGAGTTGGCGTCCTTGTCCACACAACATATTTGGAAATGTTCTTCCAATCTCCCTTCCTATATCTTTGCAATCCATCCAGAAATAGCCTATAATAAGAAAGCCAAAAAACAAAATCAAGACATTTATGATAAAAAAGAAAAACAAGAAAACAAAATCAGATGGGCATGCACGTACAGGTGTTCTTCTTCAGTCCATCGGGTTCCCTTGTTGATTTGGGTATGGATAGTTGTTGGTGCCTTTAAGTTGAATGAAGGTTGATTCACCAATTGTTGCCTATTAGAGAACCCAGGGTCAAATGAAAACACAGATGTCAACTGTGATAACCCTTGATGTGGTTGGGGAGTTGAGTGAGTGTGAGAAGGGTTCAATTCTGCCATGCAAGCAGGATTTGCCTTCATGATATTTTGTGAGTTAAACTGATTTAATGGAGGTTGAATTTGCATTGGAACAGTTGGCTGATTCATTGGGGTTGACTGATGTCTTGGAATATCATAAGGAGCCTGTAAGTTAAATTGATGCCCTGGCCGTGATTGGTGCATTGGAACCTCACGTGAAAGATTTTGTGGCTCTAGTTGATGCATTGATGGAATGGCATGGTTCTGGTTTTGATTCATAGGGTCCACAAGCATGTCTGTGGTAAAATCATATATGCTGGCTCTTTTGCTCCTTTTGTTTCTTCGATCAATTTGGTGTTTATAGTATTTCTGAGCATGACTAGCTACTTGAGCTGTTGTTCTTGTCAGCACCACATTTTTAGAAATGGCAGTCCATTTTCCCTTCCCATATGTCGTCAATCCATTTAGGAAGAGTCTGTTAGAAAACAAAAAACATATAAGAAAGGTCATTAGTCATCATATTATTTAGTATATGTTATAAATATGTTTATTAATGTCCATTATGTCACCTATGATCCCCCATTTTAAGTGTTGTTATAGTATTAAGCAATTATCTTCACAAATATATTATTATAGAAATTAAATGGAATAAATTTTAGTATTGTTCTATACATCCTCTAAGTAATAAAAATATACAAGAGTTCTCTCCTATGGACTCTCTTTAGTTTTATTTATCTTCCAGAAGGAATGGATAAGTTATTTCGAAAGTCATTTTGTATATTAAAAAAAAGGAGTTAATTTTATGTGTAGAGTAAAATATTATAAATAAAAAATTATTTTTAAAAATGATGCATTTAAATAAGAATAAATTAATAAATTTCTATCTGAGTGAGGAAGTATTATTTTCTTTTTACTAATTTCTTAGGAAATTTGCCAAATAAATTCATAAGAAAAGTCATTCAATTGAAAACACACCAAGAGAAAGAAAAAGAAAGCAATTGAAATGAAAAAAGAGAAAAAGTATAGATACGTACATGTGTTCAGCCAAATCCCATTTCTTTTTCTTGGTGCTAGTATTGTTTGGTGGCTCCAAGTCCAATGAAATCTGATTCGTTGAGTTCCAGTTGGAAGGCCAAGTGTTTGGGTACATGGGTGGGACTTGAGCCTGACCTGTTTCATTCTCATTCAGATGAGCCTGACTTGCTTCATGCTCATTTAGGAGAGCCTGACTGTCTTCATTCTCGTTAAGTAGAGCCTGACCTGTTTCATTCTCGCCTAGGAGAGCATGAAACAATTCATCCTCTTCAAGTAGAGTTTGATCTGCTTCATTGTCATCAACTGGAGCCTGACTCACTTCTTTCATCAACCCAAGACTCTCACATAATGATATAGAAATTGATCTAAGAAAGTCCTTGTCTAGTGGAGCTTCACTTGCTTCATTTTCGTCTAGTGCTACTTGACTCAATTCATTCTCATCGAGTGGTGCTTGACCCATTTCATTCTTGTCACGCGAAGCTTGACCTGCTTCATTTTCGTCTTGTGGTGCTTGACTCACTTCATTCTCACCAAATAGAGACTGACCCGCTTCATTCTTCAACCCAATATTGTCATCACAAAACATTGTAACAGTTGATTCGGGATCTTTCATAAGCTGCTCATACTCATATTCATAGTCATAGTCCATGTCACTCCATAGTAGTTCCATTGTCTATATCAATTCAATTCTATGTTATTTCAGAGATTTATAAAAATAGTTACTTCAATTCCATGCTAATAACTGTAGGAGCAAATAACAAATTATTAGGATAAATGAATATATATATATATATATATACATACTCTAAAAATTCTATTCTTTATCCATATTTATACTATATTTTTGATACATTTATATTAGACGAGTTTTACATTAATTTATATATTTTAGGTTTTAGTAAATTCTATTATTTATATTAATTTAACAAAAATATTTTGGATAATATTTTAAATAATTATGAGAAATAAATATAATTTCCCCCTGTCGCTGCTCTTGAAAACTAACCTGCTTTTTTATTTATCTAATAGCCTAAACTGGATCACTTGATCTTAAACAGGCATAGATAGAATTGTTAATTAACGTTTTATTTATTAAAAAAAAAGAAGAATTGTTAACTTTTTTTATCTTCATCTCCTAAGAATTTTTTTTTTGGCCGGTCCCAATTTGCAAACCTTGATCTATAATTATGGAGAGTTTTTATTTTTATTTTTTTATTTTTATACAAGCACAGATTTTTATTTTTATTTTTTTGATAGATAAAACCTGGCTTGTTTTCATCACTACTTTTACATTTGAAAGGACTGAAAAAGATAGAAGGTGCTTTCGCTTGTGATGAGCGAAACCAAACAGCAAGGTTATATGTTTCATAAATATTAATAATGAGATATCAAGAAAATTAAGCAAAGAAAAAATCAAGTCCATGCTTATGCAGAATATTTCAGGAAACAAAGACTAATGCAAAATATAGTAAGACGTAGATGGTAAAAAAATTATTAGATGATAGCCACAACACAAACAAAAGACTTCATAGCTCTTCCTCGTATATTCAAACATATATACATATCAAAAAGTAAAGGAACATAAGGTTAAAGGATCACCTGAAAATTTGATGAAAACTATACTCTTGCACTTCGAAAGTCTCTGGAGATTCCTAATCAACGTTGGTGGAGAAATTGAATAACTCTTCTTCATTATTTACACCTATTTATAATATAAAGGAGAGAAGAAAATAAGTATTTTAAATAGTTTTTTATTGGATGTTTATTAAAAGGAATAGTTTTTTTATTAGATACAGTTATAAAGAATCAGATTTCTTTGTTAACTAACCAATAAGTATGTAAGTTCAAGTAGACATAAGTCAAACTCAAATTCCAATTATATTAAATTAAACTATTAACAAATTAGAGAATTCACAAATTTCACATACTTTTTTTGTTCAATTTTTATTTATATAATAATCTAGTTTTACGTTCAAAATAAATGAAACTCACGTAAAATTTTATTCAAAATAAATCTAATTCAAAGATTTAGTTTGAGATTGTCAAGTTTATAAATTTCACAAATTTCCTTCTTGATTTAAATTATTTATATTTTAAACTAGAAAAGGTGAACAATATATATTTAATTTCCAATAGAGATAAGTTAAAAATATATTTTACAAATATCTTTTGTGCAAAGATCGCATCATTTGGTCCCAATGATCATATTCCACTAGTTGGTTATGGTGTGAAAACAATCCTTCTCAATTTTAGAGATTAAATTAAATTAAAATATTAGCAAATTAGATAATTCACAAATTTCACATATTTAATAACCTTTGTTTGCAAAATTGTTTTTAATATAATAATATAGTTTTCACTGCAAAGTAAATGAACGTTAAGTAACATTTTATTCAAAATAAATATAATTCAACTATTTAAATTGAGATTATCATGTTTATAAATTGCACAAATATCTTTCTCAATTTTTACAAATATTTTTTCGGTTTTTAGAACAGAATTATTTATTTTCAAGCTAGAAAATATATATATATATATATATATAATTTCAAAGAGAGATAACTTAAAAACATCTTTTACAAATATCTCTTGTGTAACTATCATATCGGATTATGTCCCAACAGCCAGTTTCAATTTATTTTTCTTTGTTTTCTCAATTTTTATTTATATAATGATCCTGCAAAATTAAAAAAAAAAAGTCAAGTAAAATTTTATTCAAAACAAATGTAACTCAAAGATTTAAATCGAGATTATCAAGATCTGGCCAAAAAAAAATTGAGATTATCAAGCTTATACTTTCCAGAAATTGGGATAGAGTTATTTATTTTCTAACCTTGAAAAGGTGAACGATATATATTTAATTTTAAATACAGATAAGTTAAAAACAGTTTTTACAAATATCTTTTGTGCAACTATCATATCAGATTTGGTCCCAATGATCATATTCAACTAGTTGCTCATGGTGTGAGAACAGTATCTCAATTTTATTTTATATATTATTTTATTTTGAATGATTATTTACCCTTATCTAAATTTTTATAATACTTTTATTTTTTAAAAAAATTTAAATTCATTCGTTCTAATTTCATTGGAAGCAAGTACTTAAAAATTCTAAGTATCTTAATTACTTTTACAAGAATCTTAATTATTTTGTTTTAAGAAAATATTATTTAATTTCTTTATTCTAGTAGAGAAAAGACGAAAGTAATTTTGAATAAAATTAGTATGAAAGCAAACACACCAAGTAACGTAAAATTACAAAAAATTTCTATTAAATTTGAGAAACTAAGTAATAAATTGTTATACAGCTCGTAACAAATTTTAGAAGATAAATAGTATACTCCTCTATCAGAATGAAAAAAATAATTCCAAAACTTTACTTTCAAGATAAAAGAACTTGATATTGAAATGTAAATATTTTGACAGTGGACCATTAAAAATAAGAATGGCTTACAAGAACCATAGGAAAAATTTTATTGCTTTAAAAGACCTCAAATTACAAAAAAGTATTAAAGCTATGCAAAATTGAATAGACAAAAATGCATTTACACTATTGGTGGTATTGCTCTGCTGCTAATTCGAGAGCTAAATTGTAAATATCCGAAGTTCAATTGTTAATATTATAAAACCCCTTGAAAATCAGTATGAAAATTTTGAAAGTTTTTATAGATTTTAGAAGGTCACTTGTAAATCCTAAAAATTTAATTATAAATAGTGAAAAATAAGTTGCAAATAAATTGTATTTTTTTAACCAATTTAAATACTTATTAACTTTGGCCCTTTAATTTTCTCATGTTAGTTCTAGGTAGGGGTGTAAAAGGGTGGCTACAGGCCACTCGTGGCCATACCTGTTACCCGCCTGTTTATGGTTAAATGGGTGGCCACCCACCTGTACTCATTTATACTCGTTTTCACTCGAGTATAGATTGGTCTGGATCACTCATTTACCTGTAGTATCCACTTTCTTAAAAAAAAAAAAACCAAAACATATGCTTTCATCCCATTTTAATTTAACATAAGTACTTAAATGATATAATTATAAAAGTTTAAATCTCTCAATAATACAAGGATAAATATTTTAATGGTAAACAAACAAGGATCAATAATTCTAATTTTGAAAGTTATAATCCATTTAGTCTCGTGGATCCTCATTCAATGATTATCTTCTTCAGAGTTAGTTGATAATATGACAGAATATTACATGCATAAATCTATGAGAGCATTTCGTGTAAAAAAACATATAACCAAAGTGAATCAAAACATATAATCAAAGGAAAAGGAACAAACTTGATAAGGATTGTAAGAACATATAACCAACAGCTCAAAGTGAATCAGAGTTTGCATTCAAATTCATGGATGAGATCACGAGATCACATCAAGAAGAGGATGGGACCACAGAGTTTACTCAAGTCAGGGAGAGGACGAGGTCACAAGAACGAGGTGACTTACTTGATGGGAGAAAGAATGGCGGAGGTGGAGGCAAAGCTTGCAAAAAGGTGAACGCTGAATAGTGAAGCTGAAATCTATTGCAGTCTCTCCATCATGCACTCAGACCAATAGAGAAGGGGAGACGACTGTAGGGGGCACTGGGCAGGGGTGACTAACACTGGGCTATGGCTAGCGATTGGCAAAGGCAAACCCTAAACAAATGAGAAGCTTGTCACGCCTCAAAAATTAGGCATGATCGGTATGGGACATATACACAAACACACATTCCTTAAACCTTAATCAATAAAATTTTTATTTAATATCTTAATTCATTTGAAATACAATTGAAAATTATAATAACATTTTTCATATAAATAAAAGATTCCTCAACTTTCTATAGAGATTTTGAAAAAATTTTTTCCTATAATAGAACTAGGGCTGTGCAAAAGTCTCCCAGTCCTGTCTGGTCCAGTCCAACCCGAGATGGTCTCAGTCTTGTTCGGTCTGTATAGTCACTGGTCCTTCAGGACCAAAAGGACTAAAAAGATCAGACTATTTTTTCGGGTTGGACTGGACAAGAGACCAGGCATCCGGACCACTTGGTCCAGTCCAGTCCTATTAATTTTTTTTATTATAATTATAATTAATTTATTTTTGACAAATGTTTAAAGTGTAATTGATGCTAAGGAGATGATTGCATAAAAATTTATTAAGTTTGTTTCTAAATTGTTATTGTAATATAGTGTTGTTGAATTTTTTGAGTACTGTTTTTATTAAAGTTTATAAATTTAAATAATTTAGACTATAACAAAAATATTTTTTTTCTTATTGTTAGAAATTATTATGGATTTATTATTATTATAAGTATTTTTACTATCTTAATTGAGTTTATTATGTTGGAATGGATTATTGCCTTTCATAGAATAAAAAGAGGGAAAAAAAGCTAAGTGAGTACTGGACTGACAGGACCAGTCTCCCAGTCCTATGGACCAAGTCCGGTCCTGTTAATCTTCGGGTTATCACTGGACAAGACTGGACTACGGGTTGCCTAACCCAGTCTTTTTCATGAAAGAGACCGGACTTCGGGTTAGGGTGAAGTCCAGTGCCGTCCAGTCTTTTGTGCAGCCCTAAATAGAACCTTTCAAATTTCTACAATAACCATTTGCATACAAATTAATAATACAGAGCTTTACTTCTCAACAACTGACAGTCAATATAAATTTACAAATCAGAATCACCTCTATAATTAATGTAGAGCACTTAAATTTAATCTCAAAATATAGCACATAGTTGAATATATACATCAAAAGAAAATGCAATCTCATAATAAATATTCACCCAACTCACTGGCAAGTCTTTCAATAATCGGCAGGAGGTTTAACACCAACTATCCCCAAAAATAGAATTTTAAGTGTAAAAATAATATACTCAAACAATTATGTAAAATACTTGAAAAGATGATAATTCAATATATTAAACTTAATAAGCCTATAAATTTTAAACATAACCATAAACTCAAAGTAAATTAGAATTGCTTTATTCAATCATGCCTGAAGAAAACAAATTATTTAAATATAAATCAAAGTAGCACACTTGCTAACTCAAATCATTGAAATTTCAAATACACTAGTTAAATAAAAAAAATTTAAAATTTTGAAAACTTAATAGAGCATGTAACAAACGTGGACACACAATTTACGATGATAAAATAACCATACGTGGCTTATGCCATAAAAACAAACATGAACATACAGTCCACGAGAATAAATAACCAGACATAGCCGAAGCTACGAAACAAATGTGGACACACAGTTCATGAGGATAACTAACCAGACGTGGCCAAAGCCACGAAACAAACGAGTGTACAAGACCCACAAATAACAGACATGAGAACAAAGCTCAAGAAAATTAAAGTAACTAGTCATTGACCATGGCGTGCCAAGGGTTAATTGTCGTTAACAACCAGTGTTTTGTATAGAGTCATCTTAGAAATCATATTTTAAACATACAAGAAAAACAATCATTTCTAAAATAGGATTTTCATTCGTAATGCCAAACTCACATGAATTGTTTCAAATCTCAAAGCTTGTCAGAATAATACTTTATAGCTAAGGCACAAGCTTGCATTAGTTGAATAACTAAGAATTTTCAGAGCAAAATAAACAAAGATACCTTCATTAATCTTGAAAGTATCTTTCTTGAAGAAAATACATGCACATACAATAATTTAATTAACCTTCATCATTATTTTGTAATTTTCAAAACCAAAATAATTTAATTAACAAATTACTTAGTAATCATCATAGTTGATAAAAATGATTTATACCAAAAGATAATATTTTCAAAAATAGACTACTTTTACTAATAAAATAATGGGAATGCTATTCACTTACCTGTAAAGTTTTCAAGTATATGTCTTACTTCCAACCTAGTCTCCTAATGACAATGCTTTCTCCATAAATTTCCTAATATTCAAATAATATCATTGTCACTTACTCATACTTTGCCATCCAAAAATTTTTATTAATCCAAAACAACTAAAAAAAATAAGACAAAGAAAAATTTTACTTTTATCTTTCTCAACATTATATGAAACATAAAAATATAAATAACTAATTATATAAATAGCAACTTGGTCCTTAAATTACCAACTCAAATATTTCTCCCAAAAATCTCAAATTTCTATTTTAACTTTTCAATCTTCAAGTTTCATATCTAACCTCTTCTCTTTCAATTTCATCCTAACCAATTCTTCAACATCAACCACTCCCAACAAAATTACTTTAACCCAATAACTCTAACCCATGCTTATTATAATCATGCTATCAATACAGAAATTTTAGTTTAATTTTCTTTTTCCATTCCCTCAACAGCCACGGACAGCAGCCAGAATGCAAAAAATAAATAAATAAATAAATTATAAAAATATTATATCACACGAACTCAGACGCATGCAGAACTAATTAGAGGAGGGTTCGAAGCTCCTCTCCTCAACCTAGCACAACAGAACAGAGGAGAAGTAAGGAGGAGAAGGGCCTGACCATGTGAAGCTGAAAGAGGGAAGAACTGTCTCACATAAAGAAACAAGGAAGAACAAAACCGACGAAACAGATGAACGGAGGTCGAACAAGCTGAACCACGACTGGCAATGGTGAGCGACTTGCAACGCGAAACAGGGGAGAACTCACAGTCGTAGCTCCAAAAATGGCAGCCGAGCTCTGTTGTGTTTCCTACTCACAGAAAGACAAAAAAGAGAGAGGAGAAAAGAGTTTCGACAATTTTGAAATGAAGAAGGATGAAGAGATCGACAGTGAAGCAGAAACAAGGTGAGAGTAGACCAACCCAGAGCGGACTCCTTGAAGCAGTAAACTCACGGTGAAGTTGAGACCTACGCCGGCTAGAACGCGATGATGGAGAAGGAAGAGAAAGAAAACAGAGATGGGCAAGGATTTTGGTTCTCGACTGGTCTGGAATTTTCGGAAGTTGATACAAAGAAGAATGAGGAATGAGCTAACCGACTTCCTCTGCCACTCTCATTCATTTATTTTCATTTCGTTGGTTTTTTTTTTTTTTTTTTCAGTAGGAGGGCATTCTAGTGATTTTACCCAAAACTGAAGCTAGAAGATAAGAAAGATGCATCCACTGATGGTCTCAATGAAGGATCCATCCCATGACTTGGCATAGGGACTGTTGATCCAACTCCCACTAAACTTACATCCCAAGTTGTTATAATTGTTCTAGAAATTAATATGAAGTAACCTAGAATACGTTGCCATATATTTTATTTATTTATTTATTTATTTATTTGCTTAAAAGTTTCTACATTATGACCATAATTAAATTTATGAGTTATTACAAAGCTTGAAGCAAGGTGGAGGAGAGCGGAGAGAGGCAGCTCGATCAGGGTCCTCTACTCAGGTAGGGCACAGCATGCAGCACGAGTTGAACATTGAACGCTTCACACTTCATACTTCAAAGCCTTCACTTTAGGAGTTGGGCCCTAAGTTTCTTAATTTTTGATTTTTTTTTAAATGTCACCACAGGCCAGCTAAAAGTAAAGCCTATGATAAGAATGGAGAAAAATTGGATAATTTTATTTAAAAAATAATAATTTTATATGGACAGGTATATGCCACACGTGGCCTTACCCATTACTTGACCATTTCTTCATATGTGGGTATATAACAACCCATATTTATTTATTTTCTTAGAGAATAGGTATGAGTTGACCCATTTAAGTATGGGTCAGGTGAGTTTGCGGGTAAATTGTACACCCCTACCTCTAAGTGGTTTATCTATTTGTTTATGTTTTTTGCATCTTGTTGCTTTTGTTGGGTTGTATTTATAGTTTGTCTTTTATTAGGCCTTTAGGTTTTGTTTGATCTAAAGGACCTTTAGTTGTATTCGTTTTACTACTTGTATATACTTTGACTTCATGTCAAAAAAAAAAAAACTTAATAACTTGACTTAGAACCAATCATAGGCTTAAAATTAAACTTCTTGTTATGAATATTAAGAGTCATGTGGATGTTTATCTTTTTCATCCTTTCATATTTTTTCATGAAACTCTAATCATTTGATGAGTGTTGATTACCTTTTATTTTTTATTATCATTTGTGTAATCCTTAATATAAAATCATGCCTATAAATAGGGCATGTTAATCGTATTGTAGAGGATGAAAGAGAATACAAGAGGAGTTATCTTTTTTTTTTATTGCTTATATTCTTTCTTCTCATTTCTATTCTCTCTATATTTTATTCATAACACTTTTAATATTTATAATCAATGGAAAATTTATAATTAATTTCTTTAGTTGACTCTCGTCTAGCATTTCTCCGTTTCATTGTCCAATAAATCCATTGTTTTTTCTCATTTTTTTATTTTAAAATTCCTTTCCTGTGCTTGCTTTCTCAAATCATCCTCAATTAACATGGTTGATCTTTTCACTCTCAAGCTTTTATTTTCATGCATTTTGAAATTTTTTTGTTTGCCCCTACATTCCTGGTGCCAAAAGCAATACTATCTATTCAAGAGGGCTGGTCCATTTACCTCATGTTTTTATAACCCTCCATATAATTACAAAATGTTAGGAGAATTCCATCACTTGATCACATTTACCTAGACTCAATTTTATAAGTAATACTTGCTGATTCTATAAATGGCATGCCATTGGACTGCACAATTTAATTTCTTACCTGCAACATGATGGCTTGATAATGGTTGATGATGATTTGTATCTTATGGTAATGAAAAATCATTTTGTAGGTGCTACAAGGCATTGATTCTGATATAAAATGTTATGATGGCTTAAACATAAGATTTCGAGTTTAAGTTAGAACTCGTAGTATTTAAATTCTCCAAATTTAATATCTGTGAATTTTTGTAAAGCTTCTCTCTATTTTTTTAAGACAAACTTTACAAAGAATTACAGGCTTCAATTTCAAAAGAATGTAGATCTCATTCCATAAGCTAATCTATTCATTTATGTACTGCTAGAAATTGAACCATATTTATAGTTGACAAAATTGCAAGCGATAATCTTCTTATGGCATCTTTTTGTCTGAATATGTGTATGCTTTAATCTTCTTTTGATTATAAGTTCAGAATCTTAAATGGCACTAAAAGAAAGCACAGTGAATTTGTTCTCGTACACAGCAAACCTACACATTGAAGTAGAGAAATCAGGTGGTGGCATCAAAGAGAACATTTTGTCTGCCATATCAAATGAATTTATCACATCGGAGTAACAATCTGTATCTTTTCAACCCATACCAAAACATAGCTCCAACAGCGATATAATTACAGGTTGAACCTGTGCCATTGATCCTATATTCTACTTCCTTGCATGACACTGAACTTAATATGCACTTCAACCTCAAAAAGGCACTTAGTAACATAAGTTATCACTATCTTGTAATCATTAACAAAATTGGACTGAAGCCAAATCCTACTTAGAAAGGACACCCTTCACCTAATCAAAACACTATATTTGATAAAATGTATCACAAATTAAGTAAAAGTCAAGTTTTTTACAAGTCAAGCACAATGCTATTGCTGCAACATCATAAAAAAATTTTAAAAAAAAATTGGTAAGCAAAATGGGGATGGAGAACTATGATGAGCGATACTGCAAAGGTCATCAAGGATTACAAGTGCAGTCATTACTATTAGCAGTGAGATTGAACAAAGTTAGAACAAAATTTGCTTCATCATTTCACAAATAGCGCACACAATTTCTTTCCTCCAATTGGTACAAGGCTTTCTGTGTAGTTGAAAATAAATTCACGTAGATTGAGATCATTACCACATTTGCTGATATCAAACGTCTTTGATTCATTGGTGGTGATATTTATCAGAGAAATTTTTTGTTCATGATTCCACTCTTGATGTTCATCTTCACGAATAACAATATCAGCACAAACCATTTGATTCCTCCAAATAGTCACCGGACGTACCAATCTTGGTAAGAGATAGTAACTATATTTCTTGGCCCAAGATAAACCTGTACCATCCTCCATGACCCACAATTCACCCACGTCTTGCAAAGCAGGAGAAGAAAGCACAGCAAGTTTGTTCTCATACGCAGCAAAACTAATTGATGAAGTATTCCAATCAGGTGTTGGTATGAAAGTAAACACTTCATTTGCTAAGTCAAATGAAAGTACCACAACGTCATAAGTATCTGTATCTTGCTTCCACGCAAGCCCAGACCAAAACATGGATCCATTAACAGTGATGCTTTCAGAACTAAAACTTACGTTCTTGATCCCATATTCTGCTTTCTTCCATGACCCTGACCTCAGTGAATACACTACAACCACCAAAACATCAAAAGGATAACTAGAATCATAAGGGACCACTATCTTATAATCATTAAGAATTGGACTGAAGCCAAATCCTGCACTGCGAGGTCTATGGCTATCTTCAGACTGCACCGTAATAGAGGACACCGGTCTGACCTCTCTAGTCGCTGGATTCCACACTAAAAAGCAAGGAAATCTATTACAAATGCCGACTAAAAGCAATCCATTGCTGGAACCGACGACTCGAAAGGTATTCGAGGAATCGATTAAAGGTGCGTTATCAACTTTCTTGAGTCGCATCTCACGATCGAGCAACCATAAGTCATTCCGTTGGAGAAGAAGAGAAGGATTTTGACTGGTGTGATTGAGGTGTTCTTGGACAAAAGATGGGGTCTTGAAGAGATTCCTCCACCGTTTGCACACACAGCGAAATCGGATAAGCGATTTTGTCGGAAGTCGTATGAGAATGTCTCTGATGATTTCTTCCGGAAGAAACGGAATGCCTTCAGCCATTACCTTCTCCTTCATGGTGCTCGACTGGAAAGAAGAGATCTCTCGGAGGATAGCGTTCTGATCAACTAAGATCACTGCTTCACTAGGCTGCTTCTGCTGAAAAATTTCGTGCCTTTTGTTTCTAAATAAATGATTTAACATAAATTTCCGTTATCAAAAAACTAATTTAAAATTTAGAGTAGATACATTGAATTTCCTCGTGGTAGCATTTGGGTGGATGGACTTCAATTTGAATGTTTAAATTTGAAATCTTATAACATTTGATAGTCTATTAAAAATTCTTTATTTGAATGATTTAAACTATTTCAAATATATGAAGGAAAAAATGAATTAACATTCGAAATGAAAATTAAAAATTAAACATGTCATTTATATTTTTTTAATAGATAAAAAATGAAGATATAACTGATAATTCATATTAAGCTTGATGGGCTAACTCAAATAAGTTCAAAAAAAATTGAGGTTTGTGCTTGAAAAAATTTTAATATTTTATGTTTGAAAAATTTGAGAACACTTTTTATTATTAAAATATATAAAATATAATAAATATAATTAATTATTTGTGTTTTGTGACATGTTATACTAAGATATCATATATTTAAGTATATTATATTTTTTCATATTCAACCAGTTGCTTATGGTGTGAAAGCAATCCCTCTCAATTTTTTGTGATTAAAATGAGAAAAAATAATTATTTTGTCCCTTAACTTTTAATTCAATAATGATTCAGTCTCTCAAGTTTAACTTATCATAACTTAGTCCCTCAAATTTAGTCCATTTAAAAATTTTATCCTTGTCATGAGTGAGACAGACTGGACTTGTTAATGTGTCGCAAATAATGATTACATGGCATTTTATATTACAAAAATAAAATACCAAAAAACAAATAAATATGAAATTTAAAAGAAATGGAGACGAGTCCGAATCGAACAAGAATAAAAAAGTGCAGAGCGATGGATGAAAGTTAAAACTTGAAAGATCCTAACAATGTCTCGAAAGTAATCCTAACAAACTTGCTCCCAATTCCAATCTCTCCCAACATTACCCACATTATCATTTCTTAGCGACGACTCTGCCAACATAATTGACAAGTATTCTGGCGTTTCAAAGTTCCTCAACACATCGTCTCAAACCGACATCTCTATCCTATAAAATTTATTGAATTAGAATGTACAATACGATTCAAGAAAATGGTCACATCAATGTCATTATATACTATAAAATTAGTTGGAGAGTAAAAGAGGTCTTTACATAAGAAAGGCGCTACTTGGGTACCCAAATTGAAGGGACCGATCAAAATTTAGGCAATTTTGTGGGTTACAGGATTCATCTATGGGAAGACTTGGAGGAACAATCTGGTTTTGAGGATATGAAGAAGCCATCATTTGATTTTGTTGTTGAGCTTCGACATAAATATCATGAATGGTGACATCATGGATGCTTTTTCTTTCCCTCTTTTTGCTCCCTTTCGTAGTAGGATAATGCTTGTTGTTGTTGTTCCCTTTCTTTGCTTGGCGATTAAAGTATTTCTGAGCGTGACTAGCAATCTGAGTTGGCGACCTTGTCTGCACAACATATCTAGAAATGTTCTTCCAATCTCCCTTCCCGTATCTTTCCAATCCATCCACAAATAACCTATAATAAGAAAGCCAAAAAAAAAAAATCAAGACATTTATGATAAAAAAGAAAAAAAGGAAACAAAATCAAATGGGCATGCACATACAGGTGTTCTTCTTCAGTCCATCGGGTTCCCTTGTTGATTTGGGTATGGATAGTTGTCAGTGCCTTAGAGTTGAATGAAGGTTGATTTACCAATTGTTGCCCATTAGAGAACCCAGGGCCGAATGAAAACACAGATGTCAACTGTGATAACCCTTGATGTGGTTGGGGAGTTGAGTGAGCGTGAGATGGGTCCAATTCTGCCATGCAAGCAGGATTCACCTTCATAATATTTTGTGAGTTAGGCTGATTTAATGAAGGTTGAATTTGCATTGGAACAGTAGGCCGATTCATTAGGGTTGATTGATGCACTGGCCATGATTGGTGCGTTGGAGGCTCATGTGAAAGATTTTGTGGTCCTAATTGATGCATTGATGGAATGGCATGGTTCTCGTTTTGATTCATAGGGTCCACAAGCATGTCTATGGTAAAATCATATATGCTGCCTCTTTTGCTCTTTTTGTTTCCTCGATCAATTTGGTGTTTATAGTATTTCTGAGCATGACTGGCTACTTGAGCTGGTGTTCTTGTCAGCACCACATTTTTAGAAATGGCAGTCCATTTTCCCTTCCCATATTGCTGCAATCCACGCAGGAAGCATCTGTTAAAAAAACAATATAAGAAGGTCATTAGTCATCATATTATTTAGTATATGTTATAAATATTTTTATTAATGTCCATTATGTCACCTATGATCCCCCATTTTAAGTGTTGTTACAGTATTAAGCAATTATCTTCACAAATATATTGTTATAGAAATTAAATGGAATAAATTTTAGTATTGTTCTATACATCCTCTAAGTAATAAAAATATACAAGAGTTCTCTCCTATGGACTCTCTTTAGTTTTATTTATCTTCCAGAAGGAATGGATAATTTATTTTGTAAGTCATTTTGTATATAAAAAAAGGAGTTAATTTTATGTATAGAGTAAAATATTATAAATAAAATTGTTTTTTAAAAAATGATGCATTTAAATAAGAATAAATTGATAAATTTCTATCTGAGTGAGGAAGTATTATTTTCTTTTCACTAATTTCTTAGCAAATTTGCCAAATAAATTCATAAGAAAAGTCATTCAATTGAAAACACACCAAGAGAAAGAAAAACAAAGCAATTGAAATGGAAAAAAAAAATGTATAGATACGTACATGTGTTCAGCCAAAGCCCATTTCTTTTTCTTGGTGCCAGTATTGTTTGGTGGCTCCAAGTTCAATGAAATCTGCTTCGTTGAATTCCAGTTGGAAGGCCAAGTGCTTGGGTACATGGGTGGGACTTGAGCTTGACCTGCTTCATTCTCATTAAGGGGAGCCTGACTTGCTTCAAGCTCATTTAGGAGAGCCTGACTCTCTTCATTTTCGTTAAGCAGAGCCTGGCTTGTTTCATTCTCACCTAGGAGAGCCTGAACCACTTCATCCTCTTCAAGCAGAGTTTGATCTACTTCATTGTCATCAAGTAGAGCCTGACTCGCTTCATTCTTTGACCCAGTATTGTCTTCATAGAAGCTTTTAACAACTATTCCAAGATCTTTGGTAAGTTGCTCTAATGTATACTCGTAGTCCATGTCACTCAATAGTAGTTCCTTTGTCTGTAACATTTCAATTGTATGTTAATTAAGAGCTTTATAATAATAGTTACTGCAATTCCATGTTAATAACTATAAGAGCAAATAACAAATTATTAGTACAAATAAATAATACACACACACTCTAAAAATTATATTCTCTATCTATAGTTATGCTATATTTTCAATACATTTATATTAGACCAGTTTTACATAGGTTAATAATTTATCGGTTTTAGTAAATTTTATTATTTAATTTAATAAAAATATTTTGAATAATATTTTAAATCATTACGAGAAATAAATGAAAACTAACCTGCTTTTTATTTTTATTCACCTAATAGCCTAAACTAGATCGCTTGACCTTAAACAAGCACAGATAGTAATGTTAACGTTTGTCTCTTCACCCTCAGATTTTTTTTGGCCAGTCCCTATTTGCAGACCTCGATCTATAACTATGGAGGGTTTTATTTTTATTTTTTATAGGTAAAACGCGGCTTGTTTTTATCACTAGTAGCATGGAGTTGTACATTTGAAAGGATTGAAAATGAGGAGCGGATTTGCTGATCCTAACCCTGCATTATATTTGATGGCCAGAAAGAGAGGTGCATGCATGATAAGGCTTATTATATGCAACGTGTACTATTATGTTTTATCTATTATGATTTATAAAAATTTATAAAAATAAATTTTCTTTGTTACTAATTTAGAAAGTCTTGATTTAATTTAAATAATCCAAATTTAATATTAAAATTTTTATAATTTTTTAAATTAATTATCCAAATTTGCTCTGAATAGTTCAAATTTAAATTTTTTAACTTGTAGTATTTTTAAAAAAAAATGGGAAGTGTCAGATAAGATATTATATTTATTCTTTATATTGTGTTTATTAAATAAATTTTTAAAAAATTTATTAGTAAATATGGATTTAATAGAATACATTAGGATACTCAATTTATAAAAATTAAAAAAATAAATAATAAATTGAATCGTTCTTATTATATTTGTATTATGCAATTTTATAAATTATAAAAATTTTAATAAACATCATGATTGTATACTTTGCATATAATAAGTTTTATCATGCACCTCTCTCTAGCCATTAGATACATCGCAGGTAAGGATTTTCCAAAAACACTGCACAGATTTTCATCAAATAAATTCCGTTCCCTTGAAAAAGATGTTCACCGTTCACGTGCGTGCCCTTGTGATGAGTTATGTCAAACAGCAAGATTATACGTTTCATAAATATTAATAAAGAGATATCAAGAAAATTAAACAAATAAAAATCAAGCAAATCCATACTCATACGAAATATTTCAAGGAAAAAAAGTACTTATAGCAAAATATAATCGGACATAGATGTCACAAAAATAAATTATAAGATGATAGATGCAACATAAACAAAAGACTTCATAGTTCTTCCACGTATATTCAATCAAGCTTATATAAAATTTAAGGAACATAGAGTTAAGGCTTACCTGTACGAGAAATTGACGGAAACTATAATCTTGCACTTCGAAAGTCTCTGTATAGATTCGTAATCAACTTTGGTAGAAAAATTGGATAGATCTTCTTCATTATCTACACCTATTTATAATATAAAGGAGAGAAGAAAAATAAGTATTTTAAATAGTTTTTTATTGGATGTTTATTAAAAGAAATATTTTTTTTATTAGATACAGTTATAAAGAATCAGATTTCTTTCTCTCTTTTTTTTTTTTTTTTTTACGAACCAATAAGTATGTGAGCTCAACTAGATATAAGTCAAACTCAAATTCAAATGAAAATATTAAAAAATTAGAGAATTCACAAATTTCACATATCTGTTTTGACTTTGTTTGTTCAATTTTTATTTAGATAATAATCTGGTTTTACATGAAAAATAAATGAAACTCACGTAAAGTTTTATTCAAAATAAATTTACCTCAAAGATTTAGTTTGAGATTGTCAAGTATATAAATTACACGAATTTCCTTCTCGATTTAAATTATTTATATTTTAAACTAGAAAAGGTTAACAATATATATTTAATTTCCAATAGAGATAAGTTTAAAATATATTTTACAAATATCTTTTGTACAAAGATCGCATCGGATTTGGTCCCAATGATCATATTCCACTAGTTCGTTATGGCGTGAAAACAATCCTTCTCAATTTTAGAGATTAAATTGAACTCAAATTAAATTAAACTATTGGCGAATTAGATAATTCACAAATTTCACACGCTTACGGGCTTGCTCAATTGCTTCTACATAATAATATAGTTTTACCTGCAAAGTAAATGAAAATTAACTAAAATTTTATTCAAAATAAATATAATTCAACTACTTAAATTGAGATTATCATGTTTATAAATTGCAAAAATTTCTTTCTTAATTTTTACAAATCTTTTTCGGTTTTTAGAATAGAATTGTTAATTTTTAAGCTAGAAAAGAATATATACATATATATATATACACACACACACATATTAATTTAAAACAGAAATAAGAAAAAAAATCTTTTACAAATATATTTTGTGTAACTATCATATCGGATTTGGTCCCAATAATCATATTCAGCCAGTTTCAAATTTTTTTTTTTTTTTTTGCCTTTGTTTTCTCAATTTTTCTTTGTATAATAATCTAGTTTTACCTGCAAAATAAAAAAGTCAAGTAAAATTTTAATGTCCGGGTGTTGAGAGAGAGAATTTTTTAAGTTGATAAGAAAAACTAGCCCAAGTCAAGTTTAAAATCATTTATACACTCTCACGTATAGTTTAAGGACAAAAATGATTCTTAACTCTATTTTATTTTAAGAAAGTATTATTTAATTTTGTATGAAATTAATGTAAAATCAAACACCCTAAAGTAATGTAAAATTGCAAAATTTTTCAATTAAATCTGAGAAACTAAGTAATAAATTGTTATATAGTTAGTAACAATAACAAATTTTAGCAAATAAATATCATATTCCTCTATCTTTTTCCCCCTACAGGAAAGGAGGGGGAAATAATTCCAAAAATTTACTCTTTTATTTTTTGTAAATAAAAGTTTAAATAAATTAGGTTACGAGAATCCTCAAGCCATGTTTCCATACTCAAAAAATACTCACAAAAATAATTATAGATTGCCTATCAACAAGGCCTTTTGATAATAGATTTGATCCAAAATTTGCTTTCAAGATAAAAGAATTTGTCATTGAAATGAAAATATTTTAATGTAAAATAAAATTTTGGACCTTCAATTATAGACTTAGAATATACTTGAACCCTAAATTTATTTTTGTTACATTTGAAGCCCCTACCGTTAATTTGGACTTGCAAGTTAATGCCGTAACTCTATGACTCTGGAGACTTCAAATATTTCTGATCGATTCCCAAATCTTTCTTCTGGAGACTTCAAATCGCTTCCTGGTCAATAGTGTCAGGAGCACCATTGTTGGATTTGATCTCCTGGAGAAATATCTCCACGTCAAACCTTGGATCGAGTATCAACCAACAAAGTTGTTGTTCTTTAAAGGTCACATCCGAAACAAAAACTCCAATAAGCATCTCCTTTCCAGAAGATGTTGAAAGTGGAGATCATTTATAGAGTTGCTAGAAGAAAAGGAGAAGCCATCGGATCAGCACACACAAAGCTCGAGCTAATTCATGTCGGAGATACTATATGTTCATTCTAACGTCGCTGAAGTTGGGAAGTGCACAAAACTGCGACCAAGATGGGACAAGATTTCAATGTTGCAACTTTGAAAGCTAAATTGTAAATATATGAAGTTGAATTGTAAATATTGTAAAATCACTTGCAGATTAGATTGAAAATTGTGAAAGTTTTTTCTTTTCTTTAATTTTAGAAGATCACTTGTAAATCCTGAAAATTTAATTATAAATAGTGGAAAACAAGTTGCAAGTCATTTGTAATTTTTTTTTACCTAATTCAAATATTCGAGAGTTACATTCAAAGACCATTTTAAGAAATTATTTGCAAACAAAAACCAATGTAAATATAAATATAATTTGTTTTTATCGAATGAAACTTGTAACTCTTATTTATGAATAATTTGTTTGAATAGTCTTTAAACATGATTCTACTAATATTTAATAACTTGATTTGTAACCAACCTTAGACTTATAATTAAACTTCTAATATTTACAATCAATGGACAATTTATAGTTAATCCTCATTAACTAACTCTCATCTAACATATCTCTGTTTCAGTGTCAAGTGAATTCTTTTTTTTCATTTATTTTTTATTTTTTAATTCGTTTCCTGTGCTTGTTTTCTCAAAACATGCCAATTAACATGGTTGATCTTCTCACTCTTAAATCACCACAATTAGCATGACTTTTGAAATTTTTTGTTTGCCCCTATATTCGTGGTGCCAAAAGCAATACTAGCCTTCAACTATCCAAAAAATATAATAAATTAATTAGACATAGTTTTACAATATAATATCTTGTTTAATTTAGTTGAATGGTATTTTAACTCTAATGAAAAAATAACATAATTAACAACAGGCGGTTTTGAAAAACAAAATTAAATGTTAGGAAAGTTAATTTTAAACTTTTAAAGGTGAGGAGATTATATACAGCTATTTTAATGTTTAGGAGAGTTTTATGCATTTAGCCTATTATTTAAAAATATTGTCATTTAAATATTTAAACATCATTTACAAAAAAAAAAGACATAATGTTAATAATTTTAAACTATTAAGTAATATAATGTTATAAAATGCTGGAGATTCTTTTCAATCACTACTTTTCAACAGAACACAGATGTTAATGAATAATAATTTTTAAAGTCAAATATGGAACTTCTTTACATTGAATTGGTTGTAATATTAGATTTTTTTAAAGATATATATATATTTTAAAACACATTTACGAATGATCTTTAACGTGTTCATTTGAAGTCACAAACATATGGGAGAATGAAAATAAAGTCCCAAAGCTGATTAAAAAAATCTCAAAACTCAAAAATTTATTATAGTTAAGTTGATGAAAAAATCCTCTAAAACAGAAGCTATAAATATTGATTCAAATAGTTGAAAAATAAGAATTTCAATTGCAAATGGAGTATTACATTTTAAATTCAAATATCTTATTTGCAGTTAAAATTTCTAGATTATTTGAATTAACATTTACAAATAATTTTTCAAAAAACTTAATCGGGACCTAACAGTCATTTTTGGCTTTAATGTCATTCTTCCACAAAAATATAGTCTTGTACAATTGATAATGTAAATGAATTATGAATATTCATAATTTAAATTACATAAAATATTTGAAATAATGTTAGTGAATAAATATAACAATTTAATTCCCGTACCTTGCATGAAAGGTAACTAATTAACATGGATATAACTTTTGAATGAACGAATATGAATATATTGGTGGAGATACATGAAATGAAATTAGTGAAAGAAAGAGAACAACTTCATAAACATAAAGCATATTCTTAATTTAAATATTATCCCTAAATTTAAATAATATCAATGAATATGTAAATTTTCATTTTGAAAATGATAAATAACAATTTCTCGGTAAAAAAAAAAAACACACAATATACATATGCTTGTATAAAACTCAAATGTATATCAAATCAATACTAAAACTTGGATGCATAAGAAATTAAATTCTTTTCAAATTATGTTTACTTATACTACAAAAAAAAAAATGACTTTCAATGACAACTTTAAAAAATCACCACTAAAAATAAATAATATGTGATAACAATAAAAGTCACCATTAAAAATTTGACTTTCTACGATAATATTTAAAGTCATCATTAATTGTCAAACTTTTAACGATAACAAATGCATGTAGCCACTAAAAGTCTAAGTTTCTACAGCTTTTTGTTTATTCAAAAAACTGACAATTAAATTTGAAAACTTAATTCTAAGCTTAAAGTACCTTGAATAGATGAGATTCATTTCTTAAATGAAGATGTTCTATTTAAAACAGGGTTCTTAATAACCCTTTCTTTTTCGGTTTATTGTGATCTTTGAGAATGTTGATAGATGGAGAGGGTCATGTTCCACACAGGGTTGTTATTGGAGGTTGTAAATGAATAGTTGTCGTAAAATGATAATCATATACTCATTCTAATCTGTCAGGGCATTATGAATGATTAAATGAGGGTGTGTCTCTCGCTATTATGTCTGAGTCGTATGTTATTAGCTAACTTGCATATATTTTTTGAACCGTTAAACATTCAATTATGTTACTGTGAGTTTAATAATTCTTAAACTTTAAATGCTTTGAGTTTGATATCAGCGTATGCTATAGGATCGATAGGTCTCACAGTTTATTTTGGTTCGTCAAGACATGCACATCTCTTTCAGGTACTTCCCCAAAAATGGCATTGTCAACTCATATACTTTGCCTATCATACATATTTATTTATTTACAAGTTATAAAAATTTTGATTCAACTTACTTGTGCAAAGTTTGGAAAACGCAATTTAGTTATAAATACTTTATATAATATTAATAATTTAATAAGATTGATATGTTAATTCAAGAAATATGAGTTATAGCTTTATAAAAGACTAAAAATCTGAAGTTTTACAAACGAGAGGGAGGGAGGGAGGGAGGGAGGGAGGGAGATTAATTATATGCTGTAGAAAATACGTGTCATTCACTTTGAAAGGGATTAGCCACTCAATTCATTCCATCCAATACCATATTAATAAACAAAGTCAAAGACAGATAATATAATTGATGAAAAAATTGAAGTACACTACATTTTTTTATAAAAAAGAAAGGAAGTTAAACATGTCAGTACATGAGCGGTCCACAGTGATACCAATGGATAGTATACTTAAAAAAAGAGAAAAAGAAAAGAAAAGAAGGTAAACATGTTGAATATAATTAGTATGCATTTTTGCCAAGTCTACTGACTTTGCAACGAATGGGACATGATTACGTAGTGAATGTAAAATTAAACTATAAATTCTTTCAATTCTTCTGCAAAAGTGCTGGCAAGAATGTGACTGCTGAATACAAAATATGCAATTCTACTACAAAATTGATGGGGTTTATGGGGTTTGACTTGGAGTGGAAAGGAGCTGATCACTGTCAAATGAGGCGAAAATAGAAGCCTATATTGAATTTATTTTATAAAGATAAATCAAATGAGAGTTGGTTAAAGGACTAGTTCTAACATAAAAGATTAAATTAACACACCTGTGGTTTGATCACATAAAGGGCAGGATCCTTTGAAACCCAAATGAGCAACAATTTTGTAAGACAAATGAATGATAATAAAATAGTTATATATCTAAAATATAACGATCATATGATGATAACTGTGCTTCGGAGTATGTAAGCTTCTCCAGGATATCTGGGTCATCACTGCATTGAGACACACTAAGAGAAGATGTTTTTTTGCCCAAGGTTGAATTCACCGATCTTGATTCTCATGACCATCTCTCTTCTAGCAAGAATATGAAGTGTTCTAGGGAAATATCTTTTCCTAGAATTCTGGGGCAAAAATATAGTATACACATGAATCCTGTAGGAATTGACAGTATCAAATTGTCTACCTGTCTGGTGAAGGATAATTTCTGTTAAATTATTCTGCAAACTTGAGCAAGCAACTATTGAACAGTAGTTTCTGATCAAATTATTCTGTCAGGATTATTAAAAACCTTGGTAGCATCATCATAGTTTGAAAGTTGAGGATTGCCTAGAAGTGAAGGGAATAACATTTTAAAAAATGCTGGACTGATAAATTAAGAATGAAGAATATGGAAAAATACCAGATTCACCTTTGTAGAATCCCAGAACACACATCTGGACGACAACTACAGGAGGCACAATATCTAAAATCTTGTCATTCACAGCATTCAGAGTGGTGTCACCAAACAAACATAGTCTAAGTTTTTATCTGAAATGAAAAATAAGTTATAATTGGAGTCGAAAAGTTTTCGTCTGAGTAGAAGACGGAATATTTATATTGTAAATTTGGTAAAGGACTATTTGACAATAATTTGGAAGCGAAATTGGGAGATCAAATTATACCTCAAGTGGAAAAGTTTAGATATTTGGGAGCCATTATTCAAAATGATGGCAAAATCAGTGGAGATATTCACATAAAATTCAAGCTGGATGGTTTAATTAGAGAAAAGCTAAATGAGTTATTTGCGATTGTAAGGTGCCTAATAAACTTAAAGGAAAGTTTTATCGTACTGCTATCAGACCGGCAATGTTATATAGTAGTGAATGCTGGGCTCTAACGGGACAGCAAAAGCATAAAATTAGAGTAGCAGAGATGAGAATGTTACGATGGATGTGCGGACATACACGTAAAGATAAAATTCGAAATGAGCACGTACGCGAAAAAATGAGGGTAGCACTTATTGAGGAAAAAATGGTAGAAAATCGGTTGAGATGGTTTGGGCATGTACAAAGAAGACCAAGAGAGGCACCAGTGAGAAGAGTGGAACATATAACTTTGAGTCTGATTAAGAGAGGTAGAGGAAGGCCTAAGAGAACACTCTTGAAAGTTATTAAACGCGATCTCTTAATTAATAATATTCCTAAAAGCTTGATAAATGATAGAGCACAATGGCGTCTTGCAATCCATGTAGCCGACCCCACCTAGTGGGATAAAGGCTTGTTGTTGTTGTTGTTGTTATTGAAAAATAAGTTAGGATTAAAGGATATCATAACAGTGGCACTTGCATATATTATTCTGGATTTGATAAAGTACTAACTCCTAATCAGCTATACATAGTGTTAGTCTCTTTTTGTTCTCAATCCCAGTCTGGTGATCCTGGATGGAACTGAACCATTGCAAAAACCCCACAACATCTGTAATGAACAACTAAACATTAAAACAGAGAGAATAATGAAAAAGATACCACAGAACTTGTCAAATTAATAAAAAACCACACTAAATATCTGTTTTTCATCCATCAAACATATCTTGTTATTAAGATTGCTCAAGTTCAATGAAGAAATTCATATCCTTGTGTGTTCCTATCTTTTTCTTAAGCCATTTTACAAGTTCAAGTCTAAATGAAGAAAATATTAGAAATGGTGAAAAAAAGTTAGTGCAATCACATGATGAACTTACTCCATAGATAGGCATCTCAAGGATTCCTCAGGTCTCAGGATTGGCATCACTTGGCTATAAAGAAAACCCATTAATGTCAATGTATATGCAGCCACTTTGCCCAGAAGTAGTAAGACGTTTGCAGATTTGCTGGGAGGAGAGAGGAAAAATAGTTTTGAATCAACTATCTTAGAGTGCACTTGATTTTTTTTTTTTTTTTGGAGGACGATCAATAGATAGGCATCTCCACAATGAATTTACTCCATAGATAGGCATCTTAACATGTCAGCATTGACAGTCATGAACTTGAAATTTTGTAGGGACTTCATATTTAAGGTTGTACTGAAAAACAAAGCAAATGACTGAGTTAATGATTAGTTCCTTAAAAAAAAATTACAGATAGAAACATACCAGCAGAAATAGACAACAGCTGAAAAAATATACCTGCAGACTCAAGTAAGGGGCATCATCAGCACGAGTTATGATTCATGAATCAAGAATTGGAACAAAGAAAAAAGGCACAGAGCACAGGTAATAAGTAGTAGGAAAACAGAGACCCAAAAATTGAAAACTTTTGAAACAATAATGATGAATATATGGAAGGAACTTATTGAGCGGTTGAGATGAAGAAAGATCTTTCTCGCCAGGCTTACTGTGGCCAAAGATGGCCAGTCTTTCTTCAGCAGGTGAGATGAAGAAAAATCTTGGAACAAAGAGCGACAGCTGACCTTTCTCAGCAAAGACGAGAGAAGTGGAGGCTGCGTTGGCCAAAACCTAAATCGGACTTCTGAATAAGCAAACATGCAGTCGCCTCTGCTGAGGGCTTTTCTCCCAGCAAGTTGCATCGCCTTTACAGAACAATTCAGGCAAAGTCGCGTAAGCACCAATTTCCACATGTATTAATCAAAGAGCAAGTGGCATTTACCTGATCAGATAGAAACTGCACTCTGAGAAAATTGCCGCACCTGCATGTTGCAGAAACAAAGAACCCAAATAGAGAACAAATGAAAGAATAATCAGAGAAATAATTCAAAATTCAAAGTAGAAGATAAGAGGCGCCAGTTACAATGAATGAAAGAGAATGAATAAATAAAAGAAGAATAATAGCAGCCGAATGGATGAGCAGAGTTTTCATTTTCAAGGCCTTTTTTCTAAAAGAAAAAAGAAAAAGGGTTGCGAAGAAGGGCATTGATTGAACAGTAAGAGGGGAGAAATAGAAAGAGAGAGAAATTATACATTATACTCAAGATAGACCATATAATAAATGAATCCAACCAATAAGGGAAGAGCAAAATTCCAACCTGTCCAACAAGATATCACCAACACCTGACCAATGAGCTGCGTTTTACAAGATTTGTATAATAAGGTTGATTGATCACAGTTACATAACCCATACTTGCTGATTCTATAAATGGCATGCCATTGGGCTGCAAAATTTTCTTACCTGCAACATGATGGCTTGATAATGGTTGATGATTGGTATCTTATAGCAATGAAAAAACATTTTGTTGGCACTAATAGGCATTGATTTAAACATAAAAGACTATGATTTCCTAAACATAAAATTTCGAGTTTAAGTTAGTATAAATATGACATCTTTAGGACCTGGGAATAAGTATATCTGAGTGCTGTGTAGAGGATTCAAACTCAAATTGTTAATGAAAGATATTGTCTTTTCTTATTATTTGACCTATTTAGATTTCCACTCTATTAATAATTAGTCCCTTTCAGCAATCATTTTACAAAAATTTACCAATGCCAAAGTTGGTAATATGCAAGATTTGAATCCTCTAAAGTTGATATATGTAAAATTTTCTCTCTTTTTCCTTAATTTTTTTATCATTTTATAATTTTTCATAAAATATTAAACCTTCTCTTTCTTTTTTTTAAAGGCAAGTTTTACAAAAATTTACAGATCTCAATTCCAAAGAAGTTAAATCTCATTCCATAATATTAAGATTCAGCTAATCCATTCATTTATGTGCAATGTACTACTTGAAACTGAACCATATGTTATAGTTGACAAAGTTGCAAGCAATAATCTTCTTATGGCATCTTTTTTGTCTGAATAGGTGCATGCTTTAATCTTCTTTTGTTTAAAGGTTCAGAATACCTACGTATCCAAGTAGAGCAATCAGGTGTTAGCATCAAAGCAAAAACTTCTTCTACCATGTCAACTGAAATTATTACATTGTAGTAACAATTTGTATCTTTCAAACCCATACCAAAATATAGCTCCAACAATGATATAATTTCAGATATACCAATGCCATTTTTTCTATATTCTACTTCCTTCCATGACCCTGAACTTAATAAATATACTCGAACCAAAAGAACCTCAAAAGAGTAACATAAATTATCACTATCTTGTAATCATTAAAAAAAAATAGTTTGAAGCCAAATCCTAAATAGAAAGGACACCCTACACCTCTAATAGATATGGACACCTATCTGACCTTGCATAAGAAAAGATTTTCATCCAATCAAAACACAACATCTGGTAAAATGCATCACTAATTAGACCAAAAGTCAAGTTTTTATGGAAGTCAAGCGCAATGCTATTGTTGTGACAGCATAAAAAACTAAAAGAAAAAGGGAAAGCAGAATGGGGAAGGAGAACTATGATGATAGATACTGCCACAATAAGATCTTCCCAATGTTTGCACAAGGATTTGCATATGATGTGTGATCTTATAAGAAGTCGATTGAAAATGTCAAAAATAATACTGAGATCCTTCACATCACATATTGTCATCTATTTCTTAGTGCTCAAGGGAAGAAGGAATTACTCGTAAGGAAGTGAAAAATGGTATGTGACATCAAAAATTACATCTACATGAAGTAAATTCTGTGCAAATATAGTTCTAATCCACCAATGATCTAAAGAGCACATATCCTCTTGCAAGATGAAAATCTACTTCCACCAACCATTGCATTTAATAAATTTCTACCCTACAAATGAAATGAAAAGGCAGGATATTCAATTTTTTCCCCTTGTGAGTGATATAAAATCATTGGTATATTACGTGGACAACAAATCCAGCCAAATCCAAACATCAATAACTAAATTATATATCCATCTTTGAAAGAGAACTGAACAACAAAATCTATAAATGAGTCAAATAAAGTTAGAAACGTCTAGTAGTAAATATACATGTGCATTGATATATCTTCTTCGAAGTGCATCAAGGATTACAAGTACAGTCATCACTATTAGTAGTGAGATTGAACAAAAAAGAAAAAATTTTGCTGCATCATTCTCCACTTAACATTTAATACCATCAATGACTCTAGACCTTATACAAATATCACACACAATTTCTTTCCTCCAATTGGCATTAGGCTTTCTGTGTAGGTGAAAATAAAGTTACCTCCATTGACATCACCACATTTGCTGATATCAAACGTCCTCAATTCATTGGTAGTGATATTTATCAGAGAGATTTTTTGTTCATGATTCCACTCTTGGCGTTCATTTTCACAAACAACAATACCGTCACAAACAATTTGATTCCTCCAAATAGTCACCGGACGTGCCAAGCATGGAAAGAGACAGCTACTATATTTCTTAGACCAAGATGCACCTGTAACATCCTCCATCACCCACAATTCAATCCAAGATTCAGAGTCTTGAATAGCAGGAAAAGAAAGCACAGCAAGTTTGTTCTCATACACAGTAAACCCAGATCTTGAAATTGAAGTAGACCAAGCGGGTATTGATATCAAAGCAAACACTTCATTTGCTATGTCAAATGAAACTATCACTTCGTAATAAGTATCTGTATCTTGCTTCCGCCCAAACCCAAACCAAAACATAGCCCCATTAACAGTGATGCTTTCAGAACAAAGACCTACGCCCTCTATCCCATATTCTACTTCCTTCCATGACCCTGAGCTTAATGAATACACTACAACAAGCAGAACCTCATAAGGACAAACAGAATCATAAGTTACCACTATCTTATAATCATTAACAATTGGACTGAAGCCAAATCCTATACTGAAAGGGCTATCTGCACCTGTAATAGAGGGTGGCACCTGTCTGACCTCTCTAGTCGCTGGATTCCACAATAAAAGGGAAGGAGATATAATATAATGATCGACCCAAACACAGAGCAAGCCATTGCTGGAACCGACGACTCGAAAGGTATTCGAGGAATCGATCAAAGTTGCGTTATCAACTTTATCGAGTTGCATGTCACGGTTGAGCAACCATAAGTCATTCCGTTGGAGAAGAAGAGAAGGATTTTGATGACTAGTGTGATTGAGGTGTTCTTCGATAAAAGATGGGGTCTTGAAGAGATTTCTCCACTGTTTGCACACGCGCCGAAATCGGATCAGGGATTTTGCCGGAAGCCGTTTGAGAATGTTTCTGATTATTTCTTCTGGAAGAAACGGCCCGTCGCCAGCCATTACCATATGCTGCTTCATAGTGCTCCCCTGGAAAGAAGGGAGCATCAGGGCTCTTATGCTTTATATTTCTACATGATTTAACCTAAATTTCTATTGTCGTAAAACAAATTTAAAATTTAACCTTTTTTTTTTTCTTTTTACCAACTGGCTAGGAGCTGGATTCCCCTGCAAAGTAGAAAAGTGAAAAAATCAATACAACTAGACTTTTATATTAAATTTAAAATTTAAATTTAATAATTTTTAAAAATTTAAATTTAAATTAAACAGTCTCAATTTATAATGAAGAAATAATTAAAAAAAAAAGGTAGTGGTGAGAAACCCACCCTCCATGGTTAGGCGATCCAAATGTCTTGTCCAAAAAAAAAAAAGATGATTCAAATATCTCTTTTTGTTATTAGAATGGTCATACAAATAATTAGGTTAGCTAAAATTACTAAATTTAATTAGAATTGAAAGAAACATTTCTTAAAATATTTACTCCCTCTATTTAAAAATATAAGATATTTTTAATCGAATCTTACCTCCAATAAAGTAGTTACCTACTTTTCAACTAACTCTATCATTTTATATTTATCCCTGTTAAATATACTATAATAAATATAAAGTCATTATTAATAAAGATACTTTAAAAAAAGCAGTGATTACACTTCAAAAGATTAAAAGTATCTTATATTGTTTAACATTCAACTCCTCAAAAAATACCTTATATTTTTTAATGAAGAGATTACCCATTATTTCTTTTTTATTAACAACGTTATGTGAATTTTTTTTTGTAAGACATTTTGTGATTTTTATTTAACAAGTTTTTCAAAGTCTTAGAGCAATAAGTTTATCAAAAGAATTAATTCTTTTTAAGCCCAAAAATAAAAAATCACTCAACATTTTTTATGATGTGGAGAGGAAAAGTACTAAAATTAATGCATAATCAAAGAAAATGTCAAGAATGTATATTCATTCTCATATTTACAATAATCAAGGGAGTCTTGAATTAAAAAAAATCGTATAATTTATGAATTATGAATAATATGGTATGATTTGCTTCAGGCTTTGGGCAACATAAGAAACCACATATGCTTTAATGATAACACAAGTTTAGTAATACATTAATTGATTTGCAGTATTAAAAAGAAAAAACATAATTTTAGATTTTATAGTTTGCTCAAATTTTACTATAAATCATTACTTTTTTTTGTTTTAGACCCTTATATTTTTATTTTTTATTATTTTAAATTTCTCTATGAGTAGTGTTATAAAAACCTAGAATATTGAAAAATAAAAGTATAGGAATTTAAAACGTTGAAAAAAAAATAAAGACCTATAACAAAATTTGAGCAAGATGTAAGAATTAAAGTTATGTTTTTCCTAAAAAAAAAATCCAAGCTTTTCAATAGCAATATGCAGTACTGTTCTTAATATTGATTTTATACATTATACATATTGACTAGGGGTGAAGATTCTCTTATATTCCCTTTCCATCCTCTTCCCAATTTCTAATCCTTAGACCAAGACTTTGGATGATCTAGATTTGATCTTCTACAAAATATTTTATTTTATTCTTACTATATATTTTTAATGCTCATATTAAATTTTAACAGTTTGAATTTTATTATTTATATTTTTTATAATTTAACATTTTAACAATATATTGGGGGATACTTGCCTTGTTAGTTTGTTCATTGCAGAACTATACATGCACAAAACTTGTACAGAAGTATGTCAATCAGTGTCAATTCTAGAATTATTTCTTCTTATTTCATTGCCTTATCCTTTAGTAATATTTATTAGAAAAATAATATAATTACTATTTTTGTTAATAAAAATTTTATAATTTTCAATAATTTATTTATTTTAATTTTTATATTATTTTTAAGTTATTGACAAATTTAGAAAAAGTTAAATTATGCATAGTATTAATTTTTAAACTAATTTTAAATATATTGTTAGGTAAAAATGATTGTTAATATTTTATATTTTTATTAAAAAATTAAAAAAATAGGATCTACACATCACAATGCTACTAAATAGTTAGAAAAGTCGGGTTTCTCAATTTTGCTTTTAATAACCGTCGTATTAAGGAGTACATGCCATGCCCATGTCCAAGTAGTATATGGTGGAATTTTCACAAATGTGAGTTTCAGTAAAAAGAATAATGATTTTTAATTTAAAAAACGTAAGGGCCTTGATAATTAATTAATGGTCATCAAGAATTTTTTTTTTTATGTGAGAAGTTACTAAATAAGAAATAGAAAATTACATAAAAGTCCTACATAAAGAAATTAATCACTACAAGAGCCATTAATATAAATTATTTTATATTAATGAATGTTGCAATAATTAATTTTTTTGTATAGGGCTTTAAACATAATTCTTCCTAAGAAATATACAAAAGAGAGATCTATAAGTATCTCTTTACTATATACATCTCCTAATTGAAGAAATACACAAAATCTGAAGAATGTATCATACAAATAAAATAAAAAGAGTATTAATCCTTAATGAAAGATGACATATTGATAAAATTATTTCAATCTTTCCATAACAACAAGAGAACCTACAAGAAGTTTTTTTAAATTAATATTGTGGGAGAGATGATTCGTGGTCATCCATTGCTATCTATTTCATAGTGCTTGAGGCAAGAAGAACTTTCTCACATGGACGTGAAAAAATTATGTTAAGATATGCATAAAATGATGAGAAGAAAAAAATATATTAAAAGGTGGGGGAAAGCTAGAAATTGAAATGATGGAAGAAAAAAAATTCATTTTGTAGGCACTAAAAGGTAAATTTAAGAAAAGAAAATGCTCACGGCCAAAAAGAAAAGAAAAGAAAAGAAAATGCTACAAAATAAAATGATATTAAAAAACTAACTTTGAATTTAAGTTTAGCGAAATCAATAAGGATTCACAACAGAGAGACAGAGAGAGATTAAACTAAATGAGAATAATCAACTAAGCATTGTATTGTAAAGTGCACAAAAAACTTAAATACTCTTCTAATTCACCAATATAATGATTCAAAAGAACACAATCCTTTGCAAAAAGGTGAAAACTATCACAATAAACTGGTAAAGTTAAATAATTTCCCTAGAAGTCAAATAAAATTAAAAAAAACACATATAAATTAAATTTGCTTCACTTGCTTTCTTCTCACACTCAATTACAAGGCTTTCCGAATAATTGAAAATGCCATCAACAATACCTTTAGATTGTATGGAGATAGAATAGTTTAACCCTACACAAACATTGTACCTCCAAGGCTTTCCACATAATTGAAAACACGACGCAGATGAAAGTTGGAAAAGTGGCAACGAACCCTATTAAATTCATTAGTAGTGATGTTGATCAGAAAATTTTTTGTCTCATCCCCACCAATTGCAATGCAGATAATTTCATTCCTCCAAATAGCCATTGGACATACACGTGGTGCAAGCGATGTAGTTAAAGGGTTGCTAGTACATTTCTTCATCCAATTCCATCTCTCCGCAGTTGTAACTATACCTTCCTCCATCAGCCATAAATCAATCACAAAAGAATTCTGGTTTTCACTGACAAAAAGAGAGAGCACAGCAAGTTTTTTCTCATACACAGTAAGCCTTATTCTTCTTTCAGGATGGCTTATTATTGGAGGCAATGGTGTTAATGTAAATAATTCCATTGCCATGTCAAATGAGAGCATAGTATAGTGATCCTCACCATCGATTTTTCCAATCCAAAATATAACTCCATTAACACAGAAACTTTCATAGCTAAGGTTCAAGTGTTCTAAGAACAGACAATCTACTTTTTTCCATGAACTTGAGCTTACTGAATACACTAGCGCTGGATCATCCCAAATATGCGGAAAAATTATCACTATCTTATAATCATTAAGAATTGGACTGAAGCCAAACCTTGTATAGCGATAGCACTTTAAATAATCAATGACAATCTGTCTCGCCTCTCTGGTAGCTGGATTATATTCCACAATAAAAAAGACTCATGGAAAGACAGAACACAAATCAAGCCATTGCTAGAACCGATGATCCAAGTAGTATGTGAATCCACCGAAGCTTCATTCTGGACTCCATGAAATTTCATCTCGCATTCAAGCAAACGTAAGTTCATAGCCCTGTTGTGGTCTCTATAGTCAAAAAGAAGAAGAGGGTTTTGATGATTGGAGTGGTGAAGATGGTCAGCAATGAAAGATGGGCTCTTGATGAGATTTTTCCAATGCTTGCAGACGCATTGAAATCGAATTAGGGATTTTACCGGAAGTCGCCTGAGGATGTTTCTGATGATTTCTTCAGGAAGATATCGTACGGCGCGTCGTTTCATTTCTGTGAAGGATAGGGGGAACTTTCCGATCAACTAGTGGTCTGAGACGATTAAGGCCATGTTTGGTAGGTTGGAATTGTGAAGATGGAAATGGAATTGGGATAGGAATTTGAATAAAGTGATGTTTGGTAGATATGAATTATAATTCCTGGGAATCCTAATTCTATGGAAAAAAGCTAATTTTGATTCCTTATGTAAATCTATGGAATTGGGAGCAATTCTATGGAATTGTAATATTTAAGACACTTTTGCCCTCATACAAATTCCAGAAAGACAAATTTGCCCTCAAAAAAAAAATAAAACCCTCATATGCTAGCAAAAAAAAAAAAAAGAAAAAGGGAGTATAAAAGGGTGAATAATATTTTTTTCTCATTATATATAAAGCGTTATAATATATATATATAAGATAGTATTATATATAATATTTGTATATAATTTATATATTTATAATATTTTTTTGGTATAAGAAGTAGAATTGATTTGTTTGACATTTTTCTTCTAAATCTACATGTTAGTGTATTTATTTTAAAGTAGAAGGGATGAGAACCATTGCCAATTTTATTTTCAAGAAAATGTTCCTCTGATGATAAAACTTTTTGTTTGGCCTAAGCTAGTGAATAATAGTTACAGATATAATCTATGATTTATATAATATTTCATTAATATATAAAATACATAAGAAAATTGGTACACAATTAAGTTTTTATTATGTTTTATTTTAATTTTTATATAGGGGTATTTTTGTCTTTTAAGTATAATTTCATTTCCATGTCTTGCATACCAAACAAAAGTAATGCAAGGATTCCATCTAATTTTTCTGACATACCAAACATATTTTTATAATTCAATTCTATTCCAATTCTGATTCCAATTCTGATTCCAATTCCAATTCTAATTCCATCAAAAACTATTCCATCATACCAAACGGGGCCTAAATTCAATCGCAATAAGAACCAAGAAGAAATAAGCGTCGTTGCAATTTTATTATTTTCCCATTATTTTTTAAATTATAGATAAATCCGTATTTCTCGCCAATATCAGTATCAATAATCAGCAGTAAATTGTTAGCTAATAATGCCGTTATTATTGGTATTATTCTACTGCTACTATATAATTTTTTGACGAAAATGGGTATTATTATTTTAGGAATTTGAATTTTTTTCATTTTTTAACAACATTTGAACTTTTTAATTGAAGGATGAGAATATATAATAAAAAAAGATGGTAAAAATTTATGATTGGATCAAAATAATTTTTTGAATTTGTTGAAGCCGCATTCAAGTTGGTGCTATATCTCTATATTTACTTGATAGAGAAATTTTCGCTAACAGATTTCCCTGTTCTTTTGATAACCACACTTTCCTTAATTATTATCTTAGCTTGTCAAATTCAAATTATAATTGATCAATAATTTAGAGATCATCAATGTATTGGTTATTCAATGTATTATTGTGTAGAAATATATTTTTTAAAAAATTGTTTGATAAATTTATATAAAATTTGGTTAAAAACAATCCTCCTTACTTTTCTTATAATGTAGGTCTAACAACTTCACCAAAATCAAAATCAAGGAAAAGTAGTTAAGTGATGAGGTAAATTTTATTTTAATAAATGATTTATATCGATATTCTTAACCTATATAACAAAGGATGTTTTTGTTACCAAATAACACTTGATTAAATATAATTGAGATATACGAGGGATTTTGTTATTTTAAACTGTGTGTATTGTTAAATTTATGTGGACTATATTTGAAATAAAAAATAAATCAAACTAAATATTTTTAGGGAGAATGACGGATGAAATCATGAACTATGAGAATCCCAACTGATTAACTTGAAATGGCCTAATCACTTATTCACTCTAATAGTGTCTGGAGACTACTCTAGAATTAATTTTTTTCACAAAATTACCAAACTAACCCTCAATATAATTCAACTCTCTCACTGTCCAATTCCCCTCTCCCCTCCTCTCCCTTCTCTCACTCTAAAATTACGGGCGCCGTAAACGGGATCACAAAATTATTTTATATTTGGTTATGATAATAAAAATAATAATTAGTAAGTTATTTTAAATGATTTATAAAATAATTTATTATTTAATTATTTTAAAAATTTATGATCAATTTGTGTGCATCTCCATATTTCTACAACATCCTTCCTCATCTTTTGTATCATATTATTTTTAAAAGTTACTTAAAAAAATTAGGAATCTACTGTAGGACATTTTTTAATAATTAAATCACTTTTTTAAATTTTGTTCTTTATTTAATTAGCGTGAATTTATTTAATATAGTTATATTATTATTTAAAATTAAAGGTGAATATGAAAGCACATCTCATTTTTTAATGAAGTCAAGAAAAAATTAATTTTTTAATATACATGAAATGATTAAAAGTAATAAAATACTTTTTTTATATTCTGATTATTTTTAGGCTTGTTTGTTTCAGATTTTTTTTAATGAAAAATAACTTTATTTAAAACAATATTTTGTAAGTTTCTATGATTTGTTTAGAGTCCATTTGTTTTTAGATAATTTCTAGATTTTATATAAAGAGATTTATATAAAAAGCACATATTATTTTATATTTAGTTACACTAATTGTTGCATCCTATTCAGAATTTTCTGAAGATAAAAATCTGATAAAAAATATTTCTGGGAGTTGTCACCAAAATTTTAAATGATAATTTTGAAATCATTTTCAACCTAAATATTTGTGTAAATATATCTCTTAGAGTCATTGAAAATTGGGATTAGGTGTAAAAAGGAAAAACAGTAGCATGTATTTTTATGGGAATGAGAACTTTATTGATATATGAATTTGTGCCAAAAATTATTTATACTTTGGACTGGAGGAATTAATATTGAAGAATGAATTCACTAGCGCCGCACTCTTAAGTTTAATATTTTTCCTAAAATGAAAAATTATTTTTTTGAATAAATTGGTTTTTCTTGGCCATTAATTTCAAAGCATTAATTTGTTATATCATACTCTCTTCAAATTAGAGGTTCAGATCAAATTTAAGTCAAAATTCAAATCTTTATTTATATAAACAAAATGTCAATAAATCTTGTGAGAAAGCTTCCCATAAGTCCTTTTTATTGTGGATAACTTACTAGAAATTTTTTAAATTAATTAATATTGTGGGAGGGAAAATTTGTGTCCTCAAAAAGTGGACAATTTGAAATGGATGAAAAAATTTTGGAGGCACCATGACCATAAGGTAAGAGCAAGAAACAAAAATGCCACCATATAGATTGAACAACTAACTAGTATTTAAAATATAATTAAAAGAAATGTCCACATTTAATAGGCCACTGTGTGCAATTGTCACCAATAAAGGGATGCTGTAAATTTAAAAAAAAAAAAGAAACTAGGTGAGAACAATCAAACATTGTATTGTGGAGTGCACAAAAAGCATAGCATATACTCTTCTTATTCACCAATATAATGATCCAAAGAACACACACTCCTTTGTAAGGCGGAGAACTTGCTACCTCAAGAAACCGATATATTTAAACAATTTCTTCCTTAAATATCAATGAAATTAAAATAAAATAAAAAACACTGCAAGATCTTGTGGACTGGAAATGTCTTGAACTGATTATAGTATAATGAGATTGAATGGAGATGGAATAGCTTTTGCTCCATTCAATATCACTACACAAACATCGTAGTAGATTTGATTCCTCCAACTGCTACAAGGCTTTCCACATAATTGAAAGCATCACATAGATCAAGGTTGAACAAGGGGTCATTAACCATCTTCAATTCACTAGTAGTGATATTGATCAGAAAAATTTTTGGTTCACACTCATCCCCAAAATATACATCGCAGACAATTTCATTATTCCACATAGTTACTGGACATGCAAGCATTCCAGTTAAAGGGTTGCTAGTATATTTCTTCGTCCAACTCCATGTCTCCCGAATTGTACCTGTAACTTCCTCCATAACCCATAAATTAGTTACAAAAGAATTCTGGTTTTCACTAATAACAGAAAGCAGACCAAGTTTATTCTCATAAACAGTAAGCTTTATTGTTCCTCTTCCTTCACGAGGGCTTATTGGAGATATCAAAGTAAACAATTCCATTGCCATATCAAATGAGACCACGAAAAGGTCATTCTCATCCTCCTTTGATCCAATCCAATACATAAATCCATTTACAGTGATGGGATCATCGTGAAGATCATGCCAGTCGTTTAAGATTGTACAATCCACTCCGTTCCATGACCCTGAGCCTACTGAGTACACTTGCGCTGAATACCGAGTCGGATGAATTATCAATATCTTGTAATCATCAAGAATTGGACTGAAGCCAAATCCTGCAAATAAATAGAACCCTAAATAATTAATATATATCTGTCTGACCTCTCTAATACTTGGATTCCACAATAAAAGAGAAACACTATATTTTCCATTCTTATTAGTGCAAAGGCGAAGACAAATCAAGCCGTTGCTGGAACCTATGATCATAGGATTATGCAAGGAATCCATCAGAGGTTCTGTTTCGACTTCAAGAAATTGCATCTCGCGGTCAAGCAAACGTAAGTTCATAAGGGACTCTCTGTCATTGTATTCGCAAAGAAGAAGAGGGTTTTGAAGATTGGAGTGGTGAAGATGGTCAGCGATGAAAGATGGGCTCTTGATGAGATTTTTCCAATGTTTGCAGACGCATTGAAATCGAATTAGGGATTTTACCGGAAGTCGCGTGAGAATGTTTCTGATAACTTCCTCGGGAAGATATTGTGCGTCGCCTTCCATTACTGTGAAGAATAGGGAGAAGCCTTCTGATCAACTTGTACTCTGGAACGATCAAATTCACTAGCAATAAGAACAAAGAAGACAGAAGCGTCCTCGCAATTTTATATTGTTTCCATGATTTTTTTTTAATATCAATAAATCCATATTTCTCGCCAATATCAATAATGAGCAGTAAATTGTTAAATAATAATACCGCTACTATTGGTATTATTATTGAGAAAATTTCATTGAGGGATTCTTAAAAGAACCTTTGAATTTATGATATTTCAACACAGGATCCGATATTGAATTAAAATTAAATTTGTAACAGAAATGATAAAATTATACATATTTAAATAAACAACATACTATATATAAAATAATTTATTTGTTTTTATACTATATATTATTCATTTACTTATGAAATGTTGTACATTTTTCACTTCACTTATTTATAATCCTACTTTCACTTGATTTCATTCCAATAACTAGTGAAGTAGGAAAATGAATAATATTCCGTAAGTAAATGAATAATATATAATATAAGAATGAATAAGTTGTTTTATCATGAAACTAACATTTGAAATAAAATTAAGTGAAACTATAACTATAAATAAGTGACGTTAGGTAATTAATAATATTTTAGAAGTAAATGAACAACATATAGTATAAGGGCGAATAAATCGTCTTATCTACGTATGTTGTTTATTTAAATGAAAGTAATTTTATTATTTTTGTTGCAAATTTAATTTCAATTCAGTATTGGGTCTTACAGTAAAATTTCAAAAAATTTTGGGTTCTCTTTTTTTAATATGTTCGGTCAAGGGTCCTCACCTGAAAATTTTCTATTATTATATTAGGAATTTGAATTTTTTATTGAAGGATGAGAATAATTAAAAATGATAGTAAGAAATTTGTAGTTGGATCAAAATAATTTTTTGAATTTGGCAAAGACGTGGGATGCAAGCCGGTACTTTCTATAATTACTTGATGGAGATATTTTCTCTAAGAACTTTCCTTATTATCATACTTTGTCAAATTCAAATTATAATTGATCTATATTTTAGGAATCACTGTATCGGTAATTTAATATATTATTGTGTAGAAATATATTTTTTCTTCAAAAAACAATCGTCTAATTTATTTTTGTTGCCTAGTCAACATTGAACTTCCTAGAAACATGGCATCCAACCCATTATCAATAATGAGATGAGATTATGAATTAATTAATTTATATAAAATCTGTTTTAATATACCTTTCATGATTTTAAATCCGATGCTGTATGCTGTAATTCTATCGCACGGGAAGCTTAAACGTCCTTGGTCGTTTAAGAAATTGCCAAATTATTTCCTACTTACTAGGGATGAGATCATCAATTTTATTTTAATAACTGATTTTTGAAATCATCTATATCAATATCAATATTTTATATCTAGTTAAAAAAAAATCTATGTCTATGTAACAAAAGATATTTTGTTAGCTGAATTAAACTCAACTAAATATAATTGAGATATATGAGGGATTTCATAATATTTAAAATCAATAAATGACCTCAATCTATTTATTTAATAAGTGCCTTATATAGAACTATAGTAGCAGTTCTATTTAATCCATTGGCTAACAAAAATTTTGTTATATAATATTTAAAAAATATCAAATATCAAATTTTTGCAATGGATGATGTGAAGTGTTTCCTTCTTTCTTTTTTTGGCTGAAATAGTATGTGGAGTGGAATTATTTTGAATTTTTCAAAAGAAATATTGATAACTTTTAAGCATTGATAAAATATAATCATTGTAATTGAATCACTCATTAAATGAATAGATTTATGTTACTCACCAAATATGAATCCTAATGTTTAAAGTAAAATTTAAATCAATTTAATTAAGTAGTTGTTTAAAAATACCTTGTCAAATTCATATTATGCTTGATTAAAATGTATTGTTGTATATAAATGTAGTATGTCTTAAACAAAATCATCTGATTTATTTTTGTTGCCTATTCAACATTGAACTTCCATTTTAGGCCTAGCATTGTACTTCCTCGAAGCATGGGATCCAGGCATCCAGCCCATTAGTGATAACAAGACTTTTAGCCTCATCAAATTTAAATAATAATAATAATAATAACGAGATTTTAATTTATATAAAATCTGTTTTAATATACCTTTAAGGATTTTAAAACCGATGCTGTAATTCCATCATATGGGCTCATGATTTGTGGTCGTTTAACAAATTGCCATATTATTTCCAACTTTCTGGGGATGAGGTCAATTTTGTTTTAATAAATGAGTATTGGAATCCACTCCCTTATAACACATTAAAATACCATGAAGTCTATTGATAATTTGAGTATAGTAAATGTCAATTTGCCATAAATTGTCAATGAACCCGGGAATATTGTTGTGTTGTGTAAAACTTGGAACTAATTCTTTTAGTTAGATTCAACCCCAATTGCCATAGAAATCCAAAAATTTTCCATGGAAGCTAAATATAAATATATGACCATCTTAGCATGAAGCTTGTGGGTGTTCATTAACTAGTTTCTTGTCATATTAATCCTAGCACACATATATCCCACCAACGCATGCTGAGATAGTTGTTGATTTATCTCCTCTTTTTGGGATATCCTTTTTTCTTTCTCAGTTCTCAATTGTATCTCTCAAGTCCTTAAACATGATCTTGTTTCAAGTTTCATTCCTTCCCTCAGCCCCTTTTTTTTTTTTAATTATTATGCATATGTATATTTCTATTAGAGACAATAATGTTTAAAGCAATGTTAAACACTAAATGTAGGCAAATCTTTCAATGAGAATTCAAACCTAGATTTACTATGCCGTAGTGGATTAGTTCTTTCACTAGACTCTACCATTGTTAAAGGTGTTCACAAGTTTATATATTTCAATTTTTTTTGGTTAAAAAAATCAAAATAAACTAATCCAATCACATCACCAAAGCAGGACCTGTTCGGTTTTTTCTCTAATTAGGGTGATTTAGTTTTTCAACAATTTGGTTTAGGTTGGTTCAAATTGAGTTTGTGAGATATTTTTTTATAGTTAATATACATACACTTTTGCTAATAATTTTTAATTATTAATTACTATTTTTAACAAAAAAAATTTCTTTAAAAAATTATTGATTTACAAATAATTAAATTTACGAGGGAGAATAAAAACTTTAAAAAAATTATAAAAATATATAGAATAAATATAACAAGGCTTGTTTCAATTTGGTTCAAATTTCAAAAAACAAAAACTCAAATCAAACCAAAGTTTATTTATAATTGATTTTGATTAATTTATGTCGGTTTGATACAGTTTGATTTGGTATAATCAATTTAGATTAGCTTTAAACACCCTTAATCTTAGCTTAGTCCCCCAACCCTGCTTTTACTTCAACTGACACATTTTCCTTCCAAGTGCTAAGTCTCATATCTTTGACCATCATCATAGGATAAGCCTCATTTTCCTATCATGTAAACTGTAAAGTTCGTACTTTTCTTCCCAAAGTTAGTGTTTGAAGGATTCTTCCACATTGGGAGCAAGAAATAATCAATTCTTACCCTTTTTTTAGTCAATTTGTAAGAGTCAGGATCAAAGATATCACTTTGTTGGGACATCGCATTTCTTTTTTTGGGCCAAAAAGGATCACCATGGTGAACACCAAAAAGAACACAACATTTACAGTAAAATGATGCAGCGTGAAGAGAAGCTAAACGCCGAACAAAATTAAACCAAATGAAACACCAACAATGCAGCTCGCAGGGAGATTAGAACCTACCATCATAAAAGACTCCTTTTGAAGCCAATTTGTTGCAAGGTTCACCTATCTCAGTAGACAAACAAAGCTACAGTTAATGAAAAGCTAAAGTCATAATTATAGAGCACAATATTCTCCAAGAACCAAAAAGTTAATGAAAAGCTAACAGGGAGTCAAACACAACCTGATCAAATCCAAAATCTAGAGGCAAAGCCTCACACTAAAGAAGGAAGTTGCACAAGATCAGAAACTACACACTTTGATAACCTTACCCTCATAGTTTCTGAAAAATGATACCAGTTCCAGCTTTCTTAGCCATACTTGAATAGGCCCAGATGCTACATCTTATTTATTTGAAAACAGATAGCAAGACAAACGAAAGGATCATATTGATCAAAACATAAAATATATAAAGAATGTATCACATCGATTAAACCAAGAGTCAAGGTTGTAAGGAAGACAAGCAATTAATAATTGATGAAATATGGCGTATTGAAAAAATGTTTTTCAATCTTTGCATGATTATTGAAATCTTTTGCAAATATCTAAAAGAAGAAGATTACAGGGTGGAAGAAGATCTTGGCCTATCCAAAGCTATATATTCTATTCAGAGTGCTCGAGGGAGGAAGGACTTTCTCGTTGGGGAATGAAATATTGCTTCTGGCACACATGAAATGAGGACAGAAGAAAATTAAAAGGTGTGAAGAAGAAATCGAATGCAAGAAGTAAAATAACTATCTCACAGTTACTGAGAGCTCAGTAAATTGAATGGATTGGTGGGGGAAAAAATCAACATAGCCTTTGTACTGGGAACCTCACGGAAAACTCTTAGCAAACCCTCTTCTGATCCACCAATGATCCAAAGAGAACACACCCTCTATTTACGTGGAATACAACTTTCATAAATCAGCATATTCAAGCAAGTCAAACTTGCTTCACTTAGATTTCTTCCATCTCACTTGATATTAAATTCCTCTCGATATCACCTGGACAAAATGTCCCCAATAACCACACATCGTCAACTAAATTATATATCCATCTCTTGAAGAAAACTGATCAGCCTAACATTATAGATAGGCAGGTCAAATGATGCTACAAACATCTGGTATTAAACATCTGCAATTAGCATTCTAGATAAATATTCTAAAGGGCCTCAAGCCTGTTAGGTACAAAATGATATTAACGGTTACAAGTTCATTTTCAGCAAAATAGCTTAAAGTAAATCTGCAATATGAGTAATGATTAAGATCTAGGATCAAACTCTTCAATGTGGTCGTTGCCAACTGGTACAAGACTTTCCACATAATTGAAAAACAAACCATCGCCATCACCATATTTCGGAGTAGCAAGCATCTTAATTTTATTAGCGGTGATATTGAACAGAACAACTTTTCCTTTACTTCTATTCCTTTCACGTTCAGTTCCAATCCATAAAAAAATGCAGACGATTTCATTCCTCCAAATGGACCCTGGATTTAACAAGAACGGGTAGGGGCGGCTACTATATTTCTTAGTCCAATTCCATCTTTCCCCAGATACACCTGTTCCCTCCTCCATCACCCACAAATCAATCACAGAAGATTCAGAGTTTCCAACAGGAGTGTGAGAAAGCATAGCAAGTTTATTCTCGTGCACGGAAAGCCTATTGCGATACGATTTAGGAGCTGAAGTAGGTAATGGTATCAAAGTAAACACTTCTGTTGCAATGTCAAATGAAACTACCAAATGACCATCATTTTCATCCTCCTCCCCCACGTTTAGCATAAACCCAAACCAAAAGATGGATCCAATAGCATGCAAACCGTTAGACATAAGGGATACACCATTTAAGTTCCCAAATTCTATTCCCTTCCATGATCCTGTGCTTAATGAATATACGTGCACTTCATTGACAAGATTAGTATCTAACAAGCATTCTTCCGAACTAATAACTCTGCTATTCACGGAAACATGAATTCTCGCTATCCTGTAACAATGGAACTGAACCCAAATCCTGTATGGAAATCCTTACGCTCAAAAATATTAACAGCTTTGAACACCTGTCTGACCTGTCTAATAGCTGGATTCCATAAGAAAATTGATGCATTATCGGGTCGGAAACAGAGCAAGCCATTAATAGCACCGACAATCCTAACACCCAACAAGGAACCGATTTCAGGCGCGCTTTGAACTTGCATCTCATGATCCAGAAAACACCAACCCGAAGGATCAAACAGACGATAACCTTGGAAAAGGAGTACAGAGTTTTGATGAGTGGAGTGGCGGAGATTTTCAGCAACGAAAGATGGGGTTTTGAGGAGATGTCTCCAATGCTTGCAGACACATTGAAACCGGATTAGGGATTTCACAAGGAGGCGTTTGAGAATGTCGGTGATGATATCTTGGGGGAAGAAATGGGTTGTTGCCATCCATTATGCTCTGCTTCACACGACTCAACTGGGGAGAACACATTTCGGCATTTCGCAGAAGAAAAGGTCCGTAGAGCGGAAGAAACGGACTGGCGTGGCACTATTATCTTTAGCATTTATTTTAACAAAATCCAAAAACCCCTTCATCTCATTGTCATATTCTTTAATATATCATTTAACATTTATCCAACTTCAATCTACAATTAAATTTTTAAAACGTAACAAAATTAAAAAATTATTATGACTTATTTTCATAATTTTTAATTTAAATTAAAAATTTTAATTCTTTAAAAAACACTGAGCAATATTCTTTAGGATTGTTTTCCCTTCATATAATAGGTGTGAGGGGAGAAGCTAACTTTATATTCTTTGACCCTTTTTGTATAAATGAAAGGGCCAAATTATAAGTTTTTTAAAAAATTTGGTAGAGTCTCTCCTAAAAGTTAGACTTTTTAATAATTTACGAAAAAATTAATCTTTTAGTCTTTCAACTTTTAAGTCACTTGTAACTCAGTCCCTCAATTATGACTCACTGTGACTTAGTCTCTCAACTATAACTCGCTTATAACTCAATCCCTCAACTTTTGAATCACTTATAAATTAGTCCATTAACCTTTGTTAATTTTTTTTATGTTAACTTATATCTCATATTAATGAATAAGAAGAGGGTATTTTAAAATAATATATGGGCATTTTTTATCCCTCTTATTTGATAATTTTTAAAAAAAATTAAAAATAAGAAACGAGTTATAGGTAAATTAAAAGTTGAGGAACTGAGTCACAGCGAGTCATAGTTGAGGGACTGAGTTATAAGTAAGTTAAAAGTTGAAGGACTAAAAGATTAATTTTTCCTAATTTTACAATTGAAAATATGATCTTAATAGACCAAAAAAACCAATCATGCAATCCCTAAAGGCCTCTTGCCTCTTCTACTATCACTCCACTAAATTATAGAAAATAAACCGATTATAAAAGCACAATAATTCAATTTAAAAGTCATAAAGGATTCAATGTCACATTTGAGACAACAACAATTCCTAGTAAATTTAACTAATAAGCTAACAAATTTAACAATTACTCATGCAATCTCTAAAAATTAAACAACAATTTTTATCAAATTACAAGTTTATAATAATTTCAACAAAGTTATGCCTATAAGTTGGCTTATCCAGTATTCATGCTACACCCAAATTCAAATCAAAAGTCACAGTCCATAATTCAAGCTCATCCCATAACAATCCCAAGTATTTTAGTAGTAACAATCAAGATTATACGTAATTTCAGCTAGAATTCAAGCTTTAACCAAGTTAAACTATAATCAAGAGCAGGTTTAAACAAAATTTCAACTCAGTCAACAGCAATCCCAAGCATTTTAGTTTATAATTTAAGCAATTTTAATTAAAAAATAAAAATAAAAATAAAAACTACTTGAAGCTTGAAGGCAAAAGAAAGTCACACGACAAGGAATCTAAAGGTTGCAGGGCTTGAAGAATAAGAGCAACCAAAATGAACATTAGCAAAAGAGGAATAACACAAGCATTGATTCATTAATTAATCAAAAAAATTGTTCAAACCTAAAAGCTCGGACCCACGAAACCTAGAAGAGCAATTGAGCAATGGGGTGGATTTAAAATTATCTAAGTGGAGTGAGTTTCAAATGAAGAGAACCTAAGCTTCAGACAGAGAAGATAACCTTAAAGCTACAACATAAAGATGTAGAACAGAAATCCAAGCTTTAGACAAAGACAACACCAAAGATGAACATAAACCTAAACAAAATGTAACGAGGAAGAAGATAGATTGAAGACGATGACAAGTGCAATGTTAGTGTTCTGTAATGTTCAAAAGTTTTGAATGGGGAGGGAAGATGAAATATGAGAAAAATGAAACGTTTTGAAATTTCAAATGGGAAGGAAAGACGAACCGAGAAAACTGACTAGATAGGGTTTTTAGAAAGACTTTCTAAACCAGTTAAGATGCAAATTCAGTCTAGAAAGTAATTTTTCATATTTAAGAATAATTATTATTTTATTTTCTAAACTGGTTTCATACAAAAGTGATCTAGAAAATAATTTCAAAAATTAATTTTCAAAAAATGTAAATATTTTTACATTGAGTCCACATTTAATTGGTTTAGAAAGTACAAAAATATATTTTTTATATGGTCACATATTCCAAACTAGTTATAATATCAACCCTATAAAAAATATTATTTAAATTGGTCCTTATTTTACCCGGTTTAGAAAGTCTAAAAATACACCATTTAATTATGTTAATGTCACCACCTCTTTTTCTAAATCACATATGCTATAACTAGTTTAAAAAGTGGGGTTTATATTAATATTATTGGATTGAATTGAATAGAGACATAGTTAAAGGGATTGAGTTAAAAGTAGAAAGATTAAAAGATTATTTTTTCTAATAAATAAATAAGCATTGTTTATGAACCTGGACCAACCTAGCCAAATTGACCCATGAACCAGTGAACCAGTCACATATGACTTGGTCAAATTTGATTCAATCCACACAAACCTAGTTAACCAAGTGGGTTAATGTGTTGATGTGGGTCATATTTTATAATTTTTTTATTGTTCTTTGTTTTTGGTCATTCCCTTTTTAAATGTTGAACCTTGAATCAAATCTAAATATTTTAATTAATAATTTTAATGCTATAATATTTTATTATTGCTAGAAACTTATAATCATTAATTTTTTGGATATTCAACTTATAATTATTGTTTATATAAGACATGTACAAGATTTTATAGATGAATTTTTTATTGGGAGAATGGCATTAACGGCCCTAAAAATAGAATTTATAACACTTAGGGCCTAAATTAATATGAAATTTCTCTGTAGGCCTTAGAGCCTCGATTGTAATATTTTTTCACATTAAAAATACTATTTTGCTTTTAATGGAAAGAAATGAAATTCAATGCATAAAGAGGAAGACAAACGAGAGAATGGGTATTTAGTTGGAGGATGAGAATGTTTTTGAGCTTTAATGGAGAAGAGTAACTTTTAAGGTGCATATATTTCAAAATTCCTCCATCTTCAGGAATGCTTCTGATGATTTCAAGATCTCGGTTGGAAGTTTTTAGGTTTCTCATGTTCTTGCTGTAGAAATGAGCTAAGATTTTTACTATTCTTGTTATAGAAATGAGCAGCATCCGTTTTTGCTGTAGAAATGATTTAAGGTTTGTCATTACTGTATTTCAATTGCTAGTGAAGTGGCAACAAAGGTGATCTTCACTCATTCAATATGTAGTAGTTCATTTAATGGAAACATTTAACGGGAGTTTTACATGAGGTAGTAAGGTGCATATGAAATGAACTTTTTATTGTACAAATTGCAATCTGATATTGTTGAAATTGGAATTTTATTTGTGATTCTGCTACTAATATGAGATAAAGGTTGCTGAATCATTTTGGCTATGAAAGTTTTAGAATAGATTAGTTGTTATACAATAATGATGATTGACTTGTTTATATTTGACTTTTACATGTGAACTGAATAAAATAAAGATGGGTGCAACTATTGGAGGCTCTAAATTATGACCACTTACTTTTGAATTTGTCAACCTTTTTGTGTTTGTTGGCTGACCATTTACCCTTACAAAGGGAGCATTTCAAATCAATTTTGCTCAAGGTGAAGCTAGAACTATCTGAGGTGGAGTATAGCAATGACATACTCTATCCACGAGACTTCAAGCAAAAGAACAAGTAAGTTATGTTGGTATAACATTTAAATTTTTTTCAAAAACAAAATGTTCATTCATATCTCACTCTATTGCCTTTGTTGTGCGGTGATGACTGTGGAATTCATCTCATTACCTAGCTTAAATTCTAAAACAATACTATCAATGTTGACCATCCTCTGTTTACCATGCCTAGATACACAACACAAGAACCATCGGGCATGAGGTGTGACATATTGTGATGGCTAGTGGAGCATCCCAATAATGTCATCCGTGAATGTCTACTTGTACTTCTAGGAACAAGCAAATGAGAAAAAAATTATAAGATTATGGAATTAGGCTCTCCTGCTTAGATTATGTACATATTTTAAGATTTTTTTTGTAATTTGGAATTATTTTTTGTTTGTAATTGAAATTATATATATTTAAATGAAAAGAAAATGAAATCTACAAGTCTCAGCCTTTCCATTATGTACAAGACATCATCCACTATGTATAAGATGATGTCCACACATGCACAATAGAAAGTTCATGCATTTTAAGTATTTCACTAGCCTTGGGTTTTAATTAAAATGATTAGGTAGACCATGCATGACATAACATTTACTATACATAAGATGATGCCCACGTATACACTACAGAAAGTCTATGCATTTTAAGTATTTCATAGCCTTGAGTTTAACTGAAATGACTAGGTAGACTATGCATGACACAACATCTACTATACACAAGATGATGTCTTTGCATGCATTACAAAAAGTCCATGGATTTCAAGTATTTCACTACCCTTGTTTTCAACTGAAATGACAAGTTAGCCAGACTATGCACAACACAACATACACTATACACAAGACGATATCCACACATATACTATAGAAATTCTATACATTTTGAATATTTCACTAGCTTTAGGTTCAACTAAATGACTAGGTAGACAATGCACGACACAACATTCACTATGCATAAGATGATGTCCACGCATGCACAATAAAAATTATATACATTTTGAGTATTTCACTAGTCTTAGTTTTAATTAAAATGACTAAGCAAACCATGCATGACACAATATCCACTATGTATAAGACAATGTCCAATCATGCATAATAGAAAGTCTATGCATTTTGAGTATTTCATTAGCCTTGGGTTTAATAGAAATGATAAGTTAGGCAGACTACATACGACACAACATCTACTATACACAAGACGATGTCTATGTATGCTCAATAAAAAGTCCATAAATTTTCAATATTAAGAAGGACAATTACATCAAATATAAAGAATTTCGTGTTGGTTCAAGCCTAG